ATTACATGAAATTCGACATGCTTTATTAAATGGTCTGCAACACACCACATTAATTAGAGTTCCGAAAAAAATTCTCTCAATTATTTTGAAAATAAATTAAAATTTGATAGTTAAGTTGTATTTCAAATTAAGTTATAAGTTAGTTTGATAAGTTAACATAAAGGTTGGCGAAAAATTTCTTTCAAAACACCGCTAATGATTTCAAGCAATTTCTTCATTTCCGGAACAAAACCTCAAGTTTGTTAATATTAGCCTCGCCCCAGAAATTCTTAAAACTGTCTTCTGCTTACGTTTCCCAGTTCCCACTAAAAGTGTCCACAAAAGAAAGTGTGTACTTTGAATTGGGTTTACGTTAGTCACGCATGCTGTATTAGTTTAGCTGCCATCTTGTGCAGCAAGCACCTCTCGCAATACCTTTTATTGGTTTTGTAAGAATTACTAATCTATTTCAGTTTGTAAAATCTATTAACACGCTTATAATATTAGATTAATACCAACAAAAAAAAACATTGTAAATTTAACAATATAATTAAACATCTAAATTATGTCTTACTCGACATTTATGTTGTGATATCTATGGGCTCTTTTAAAAATCATCCTCCTTGAGACATGAGATCCAAGTCCCGATTCTAATGTATAACAGATGTCTAATTCTTTAAGCCGAATCGCACGAATGCTTCACGGCAGAAATAAACAGCACGGTGGTACCTAGTCGTAAGGGTTTAAATAAAACACCGGTATACTTGCCTATTTTAATAAAAAATATTATATTTCAAGTACCTATCCATCTACACATATATTATATGTGATAGTAAAAGTAAAACAGTTTGTGAAATTTCATGAACATGTTTAAGAATTTCTGAATGAAGCCTTTGTTTCAAACAACTTTTGTAATTTTTCAAATAGATAATAATATTCTTCTTTAATACAATAGAAGTAAAAGGAGATCTCTAGCATATTTTGTGCGTTGTTGCTTTGTGAGAAATGACGTACAATGAAAAAGAGGAGATCTGGAACTGGATCTGGTCCTTAACTGGTCACACATTTAAAATAATAAGAAGTAACTCTTCTATAGACAACCTCAAACCAATATCACCACACCAATCCCGTGTAAGGCCAGTGGTGGAGTCAGTATTCCGACTAATTTTCCTCCACCTGTTCCGTTCTCGTCACCATCATACTAAAATTTTGCGCGAATAACTACCTAATCAAACAAAATAAGTAAATCACGGACGTGTAGATAGACAGATAGAAGTCATTGTGGTCTCAAACATAAGACACCCGGTGTACTTATATCGAGCAAATGCGACTATGCCGATGCTGAAATACAAAAGGCGGGTGCCATTTTTGTGATGAAATACATACTTAGCACATGTTCACGAATGACTGTTTAATGGAGACTTAACCTCATGTCTCAAGGTGGAGGCTGCAATTTACTTTGTGATTTTTATGGGATACCTACTAGTAAATACTTAATACCGGGTGGGAGGAGCTAGTTCACCCGGCTATACATAAAAAAAAAAAATTAAGTTTATCAAGTTAGGGAAATTAACAATACGTATTTTTTTTTCTCAAAACAAATTCGAAGTCGCAGTTTTTAAAGCAACTTTGCGAAATCGTCAAAATTTTAAAATTAATAAGTAGGCAGGTAGATCTATCGTTTAAGGTGATAATAGCTATAGGGTGTGGGATGAATGTCGGGAAATGATATAAATGTGAATTGTCTGTAGGTAGCGCCTATAAGGTCAGCCTTGCACCCACACATGCCATATTTAGTAGGTATCTCAACTTAGCACTAAACAACGTAAAACGAGTAAAAAGGTTATATGTAAAAAGAATATGCCATCCAAATAGAAACTCTATGCTCCAGACTTAAGAAGAAAAGTACAGCAGTTTTAGCTTTGATTTTTCATTTTATTTAACTCTTTATAAATCCGGTTTGCAACATTCACCTTTGCCTAAACAGGCAAGCGGACTTTAGAATGGCAATTGTGGGCGAACATGCGTTGGAAAAGAAAATGACTTACTTTTTAAATGTATTGAGAAAAAGAATAAAGCGCCCCGCTGTATTCTTTTTCTTGCTATTTTATTATTTCAAGGCTAAAAAAACATTACTCACACATTACTTGAAATAACTGCTTAATGCATAAATAAGATATTTTTTTTAGATTCCACAAATCCTAATAGTTTCAACAAATCTGATTTGTTGAAAAATCTTTCATCAACAGATATTCTGCTCAGACTATTGGCACTATTTTACCCAATTCGCTTACCAATTAATTTCGTCTACATATTTGTTGATTTTATAAATCGGGTGTAAAAACCGTGTATTGAATTAAAAAAATAAGTTCATGGCGACCCTCTCACACAAGAGCCGGAAAATTAAAAAAAAAGAAATGTTGACTAGGGGTTATAGGGACTTAGGGTAGAATAGAGACAAATCTGGGAATTTCTTTGCGGTCTTAGTACGCATTGATTTTGTATTTATAACTATATTGACCAATTTTAATTTAAAGCGTGCAAGATTTTTCAATTTAGTGACAGTCGTATTTTCATTGTGAATTTAAGTTAAAGCTACAAAAGCTTATTTCATTGTGAAAGCTACAAAAATTAATCTACAAAACATTTTAATTATCTTTGTTATTATTTGAAAATTGTGTCAAGTGATGTTTTGAGTGTTTTGGGAACAGTATACGATATAATTTAAGTTGTATAGCATTATTTTCATGTATCATCTAGCTTAACAAAATCTGAATGAGTCGTATTTGAACAAGAAATGAGGGGGAAGGGTTCGAAGAATGAGGCTTAACAGGGACTAGACTGGGTCAATCGGGACGGCTATTTATGTTTGATATAAAATTCAAAAAAGGTAGTTTTTTCTGGAATTCTCTTCTTTTAACCCATTTCAATGAAAATAAGAGAGTAATTTTTTTACCATTCGCGTGCACACTGACAACCAAAAGGCAACATTAATAATTTAATTGATAACCAATTATGTCTTTGATGTTTTTTTGTTTTATTACGCTAAAAAAGTATTACTTCTTACTTAAATACACACACAAAGTTTTTAAAAGATTGAAATAGATTATTTAAAACATTGAAAAGTACCAAGTAAAGATTACCAATTTGACTTCGATGATTTGAAAGTAACTTTTATTTAGTACTTAGTCATCAAAGTTTTGTAACTGACTAAAGACATTGAAAAGTTAATTACCTCTTGTACTGTTGATTTGGAAGATTTGGTTGAGTTAGAAGTTTTGGTCAATACGCATATCGGGTGGGTAGGTAGGTTCCTACCTAACAACTAAACAGTGCCATGCCAGCCCTATCTTTTTTTTTTCCTACCGAAGCTGATAGCTTTGAGAGGCTATTCCAGCGTAACCTTAACTAGTAGAGCTCACGGTGCTCAAACCTGACGACGTTGCTAACACGAATCCTAGCAAGAGCCGTGCTTCGCAGAATCTACCACCGGATCGGAAGCGCGACCCAATGAGAAGATCCGGCGAGAAACTCAATGGGCTGTGTCTGAGGGTTAATTTACTCGTCGAGCCCTTCGTCGCAAGCGACGGGTTCGACGAGAACGGTGACCGGTGCTTGAAGTACCTAAACGCACCGTTAGTGGATCGGGAGGATCCGAAATGACGTGTTTTGGGCGACTTCGACTGCTTCCCATTCTTTCCGCAGGATCGGGAATGTAGTTACCGGCGGCCACGATGAGAGGGTTCTCGTGTCGTGCCGCTTTATCGAAGTGAGCCTTATCGGAAAACTCTATTGTCCCCATACGTGACCCGATTCATCCCAAAGCCAAGGTGAATCGGATAAAGCTAGTTTTTTAACTTTTTCTGTATATTTTCCAATGAACTTTATGTATAATAAATATGAAAATTTAAGCATCCGGAACCAGTTTAATCCGATTCTCAGCTTTTTTGATTCTCACACAGTCGTCCATTAAAGTCTCAACAAAGTCCCAAGATTTGACCGAGACATGACTTGATTCCATCTCATCGTTTATTTAATTTCATTCGAATTTTACTACAATTTCTGATAAATAACCTTAATTTCCATGTATGTATTGTTGTTGTTGATGTATTTTATAACAAATTTATAAACTAATAATAATATTGCAAAAAAAGAATATAGGTACTACCTATATATACTTCACTGCGCTTACTATCGTAATTTATACTTTTCTGGGTCTTTAATGGACTTACCATCCGATTTTTTTTCCCTACCTATGCTGATAGCCTTGAGAGGCTATTTCAGCTTCACCCTAACATGTAAGTGAGCTCACGGGACTCAAACCGCAAGTGCTGCTAAAGCTGGCCTTAGCAAGAGCAGTGCTTTGCAGAATCTACCACTGGATCGGAAATGCGACCCACTGAGAAGATCCGGCGAGAAACTCAATGGGCTGCCCCATCCGAATAGCATTTGTAGTCTGATATAATATATACGCGGGATAATTAGCAGTGTCATTTTTGTAAAGTTAGGTTCAGTTTGATAAAACCGATTATTAAATGATCTATTAAATAAAATATTAATCCTTAATAATGTATTGATAGATTAATCATATATTCATATCCTATGTATATTATTCAAACATATTCTTTAGTATGGAAGGATTACTGGTGGCCTAAAGGCCTATCAGGTATCACTGGGGCAGGTTAATCTAACGCCCATAGACACCACCAAACGAGTTTCTCGCCGGCCGGATCTTCTCAGTGGTTCGCGCGTTTTCAATGTTAGCAATTCNCTTAATAATGTATTGATAGATTAATCATATATTCATATCCTATGTATATTATTCAAACATATTCTTTAGTATGGAAGGATTACTGGTGGCCTAAAGGCCTATCAGGTATCACTGGGGCAGGTTAATCTAACGCCCATAGACACCACCAAACGAGTTTCTCGCCGGCCGGATCTTCTCAGTGGTTCGCGCGTTTTCAATGTTAGCAATTCTCTCCGATTGGCGCTTAATTGATATAGTCCCTTAAGCTACAAACGATTAGGTACGAAAAAATCTAACTTGTTATAGACAACAGCATACCACAGATGAAGTCATTTTTTGTTTCTTGTCTATAGATAAGATGGCGGGTGATGAAACTGACAGGTTTGTAAATATTGAAAAGATGATATTTTTGTTCAAATTCTTATGAAAAATCTGCATTTTTAATAAAATAATTATTACTGTCAATAAAAAAGTACTCAAAACTTATATAATTTTCAAAATTTTCAGCAATTTAAAGCCTTCCAGTGTTGCGATCATAAGAGAAGTTTATGATAGCGAAAATGCTCACCTTAAATTTGAAATGGAATTGGAAAGAGCACTTGAGGCTGGTGTGAGCGTTATTGTTATAGAACCAGAGCCACTAGGAGAAGAGACAGCTCGTTGGATATATGTAGGAAACCTCTTGCATAAGGTCTCTGTTTACAGTGGCCTTTGCGGCATTGCATCAGGTAATTTTAATTTTAACACGCTATTATACGCCGTAATTCTATTATACATTGGATAACTCTCCTTGAAAGATGATTATACTATCCTAACCAAACTATTCATATGACCTTTATGTTTCTAGCAGATAGTACATAATTTTTATTAATTCAATATTTACTTTTGTTTAATCTACACATTTGCCCCAATCAAAATGATAAGTTGACATAAAATCCTCTTCGAACAATTTTCTCCCTCTCTACATACCTCCAGACAAGGCTATGACAGCCTGATTTTTTATTGCACATTTAGAATCTTCTCAATTTCAATTGTCTAATTTTTTTCTTTGCATAATTAAGCTATGGTTTTCTAATTGAAATCTATGAGATCATCACTATTACATTTTGTGAAAAAATGGAGACAACTTTTGAGGGACCTATGTACCAGCAGGGTACCTTAGGGTACTACAACAAGGACATCACATTGTGATAACCTACTTAAAACTTTCCAATTTTCTTTCTCTGCTTTTTGACATGCGAGGACAGGCAAACTTCAGCAAAAGTTATTAGGCAAATAGTATCCTTGCGACCTCTTGTAGAAATCACAATTTAATACTGTGCTCTATATGAAATATGAGGCTGACTGCTCACTTGCAAGCTTCTTGACAAAGTAGTAAGAATTCCACTAATCTATATTAGTACACAAAGATTTATTACTATAAGTAATTAACTGTTTTCAAGTGCTGAATATTTATTTTGGACATGTTCCTAAAGTTCTGTAGACAGCTTAAATACTGAATAAAAGAATACAATAAAATAATATACTATTCATTATATAAATTTAAGTACACTAATTTATTAAATGCATGACTATTCAGCGAAGAAATGCAGTCACATAATTTTCTCTTTGTTACTATAACGTAGGTGGATGAGCTTACAGCTCAGCTGGTGTTAAGTTATCATTGGACCCCATAAGTATCAACAACATAAATGCTGACATGCTCTTTGTTGGAAACATGAGTTCTAAGTCTCATTTTTTCAGTACAATGTCTGCCCCACTCGCATTACTACTTCACAGCAGAAATAGGCAGGGTGGTTGTACCTGCCCATGCAGGCTCACAAGAGGGTGTCTTGTACCACCAGTAATTTCACAAATTATATTTTTTGCCTATTACACAATTTTATTCCTTCACTATGAAAGTCATTCATGAACAGTTCAGCAGTATGCACATCATCAGAAAATTGCACGAGTGGTTTTAACACCAGCACAGCTCTAAAAGAATACACCAGGTGTCTTATCGCAAACCACAACGAATTCAAAATTGATCAAAATTTGTCTAGACATTTTTAAATTACAGGTCTGATGTGGAATTCTTTAGCCTGCACACCCTTTGGTATTGTATCGATTCTATGCTCTGGTTGTTACACACTATCGTGGCAGTGGGACCCATGCTGTAAATATCAAGAGGAGAAAAATCGAAGGCATATAGCGACACTGCCAATGTTGAGTGATCTAACTTCTGCTTCGCCTGTTGTGCTAGTACATACAGATAATAAGCGAAAAATTATATTTCATAATGCTATATCAATAGCGGCTGTTGGAATATGCTTATGGAGGTTATACAATACTTTTAAATGAATTTAGTGTTGAATGTATTATGCTAAATAATACAAAACTAGCACATTTCTAAGTATTTAAGTTAGTGAATATTATATTATAGTGCTCATGTTATTGGTTATCTAAAGTCAAATTCTTTACTATATAGATAGCAGATTGTAAAAATTGTATATTATGTTATATAGTAGAATTAGATATGTACAAAAATGTTTTATTCTAAGCTTGTAGTTTAAAAATGTGATAGCTATTAGTAATANATAATACAAAACTAGCACATTTCTAAGTATTTAAGTTAGTGAATATTATATTATAGTGCTCATGTTATTGGTTATCTAAAGTCAAATTCTTTACTATATAGATAGCAGATTGTAAAAATTGTATATTATGTTATATAGTAGAATTAGATATGTACAAAAATGTTTTATTCTAAGCTTGTAGTTTAAAAATGTGATAGCTATTAGTAATAAATAAATCTGTTACATTTTATAGACCGTGACCTTATAATAATATTGTATGAATGTTTTCAAACAATAAAAAAAATAGATAATTTTATTTTTCATTTAATAAAAGTACAATAATATTTTAAATCAAAACGCAAAACTGTATTCATGTGGCATAAGGCTCAGGTATCGTTCGCTCTTTTTGCCATAATCGTAAAATACAATGATGGAAATGTGTGTCTCAAAAATATGGCAAATCTAGGTAGAAACTGGCTTAGTATTAGTTCATTTTTTTTATTAACAACCGCGTCTAATATTTTGTTCGCCGTATATTCCGGTGTGAAACCTTTCGCTGTGGTGGCATCCATAACTGAAAATAAAGACGATATCTCATTAAAATTTATGAAACCAGAAAACCTGATTAAGTGTGACTTGTGTAATATGTAATAGTGGGTGCGACAGTGTGTTTAGGCTGTGTAGTATCTGTCTAGAATGGCACCACCCCACCGCTTCTCGTGGATGTCTTAAAAGGCGATTCTAAGTTATTTACGGAAGAATAGGCAGCAACGTTTTCATAAGTACCTAATCTAAGAGCATAATCCAATCACTAAACGACATTTTCTGGAGCTAGTAGGGTGTATTGTGTACTCGCACTGGTCCACGTGTTAGCGGAGCGGAGCGGGACAGTCGTTATAGAAGACATTGTAAAACTTTTAAAAACAAATTATTATGTTTACTTTATTTAACCTGCTTTAAGTTACAAATTAAAAAGGTCACTAGCAATGTGACCAAATATTTGAAAATATTGTGTTATTTCATGTAGATTAAAGGTTAGGTTATATGTATAAAGCATAAAGCTCTTATGCAAAGATATAGGTATTATACTTAGTCTGGCCATAAATACTGTTACAATTAAAAATAAACAAAATATTGCATTTGAATTTGGAATCTGTCATTTTTATATGATTGTTCATTGAGTTTTCTCATTTTGGCGCCAATACATTGTACAATATTTTGCGATATTAAAATGGAGTGGGGTGATAAAGAGAACCGAATCGATGTGATTGCATTACACAAAGTAGGTATGGAGCCAAATGCAATTTTTAAAACTCTCCATACGCTTGGTATTAGTAAAATGTTTGTGTACCGGGCTATTAATAGGTGCAATGAGACCTCTGTTTGTGACAGAAAAAGATCTGGCCGTCCACGTAGTGTTCGTACGAAAAAGGTGGTCAAACTGGAAGTTTTATATTTATGTATTAAACTAACACACTGTAAAAGTAATAAATGTTATTTGCAATAGAATTTATTTTAATTTTAATTGTAACAGTATTTATGGCCAGACTAAGTATAAGTTGTAGGCAAGGTTCAACAAAGTTTTAATTTTAAAAATGTAACTAATGTTTTCGCGATTCGATAATGCCGAAGAATAACAATTTCATCGTCCGTGGCCGTAACTAAAATATTCGAACCTTCGAAGAAGATAATTAACGCCAGATCAAACCGACAAAGTAGGTACCTATTTTGATACTTTATATATTTTATACTTTTATAAATTGCTGGTAAAGGTATAACATTAGCCCGTTTTAATACGATCTTCTTTTGCAAAACATTCTCAATGCTTGTATAACAGTTTATGAATGACTTATACTTACCACCATGAGTGTCACCAGATCCGGTGAAAGCGTTCATTGATATAGCTGTTTTTATATACCCTGGGCTAACAACAGTGACATTAATACCGTACTGATCCATCTCAGCACGAAGACAGTCACCAAAAGCTTGTAGAGCATGCTTGGATGCAGCATAAGCTGAACGATTAGGTATGGAAATTAGTCCTTGCACAGAACTATTAAATACGACATGCCCAGATTTTCTTTCTATCATTTTCGGTAGTACAGCTGAAATTAATTTGTCAAGATATTTTAACAAAAAAAAACANACATTAATACCGTACTGATCCATCTCAGCACGAAGACAGTCACCAAAAGCTTGTAGAGCATGCTTGGATGCAGCATAAGCTGAACGATTAGGTATGGAAATTAGTCCTTGCACAGAACTATTAAATACGACATGCCCAGATTTTCTTTCTATCATTTTCGGTAGTACAGCTGAAATTAATTTGTCAAGATATTTTAACAAAAAAAAACATAAATATCTAGTCTTAAAATCCTTTACCTATTAAGCTTAAATTGGTTAGAAATAAATAGATTCGTAATAGTAAACACATTAAAATTGCACGTCTTATCAAATGAATACATACCCTTTGTCAATGCTACTGACCCGAAGTAATTGATAAACATAATTTTCTGATCAACATCAGTTTTAGTGTTTAAAATAGATCCTCTATGAGTGACACCGCCATTATTGACTAAAATGTCAACGTGACCACATATCCCGTACACTTTCTCCACAAACAAATACATATTATCTATGTCCGCTAAATTTAACTCCAAAACAACTGGTTCAAGAGTTTGGATGGCCTAAAATTGTATAAATAAGAAATTGAAATCAAATACATTGACAAATGTTACATACACTCATAAGCTACTCTCTTAATTAATAAAAGTATATATCCCAACTAAACTTTCAATTGTTATTAAATTCAATATTTGAGTTAAACATGGAGGAACTAATACAATCCTCAACTGCAGCAGCGGCTTCCCTGTGACCCAGAGATTATTAATGTCCATAAATGACGACGACTACTTACCATTAGGTGGGCCGGGTTCTCGTCTGCCTTTAATGCCAATAAAAACTTGTGTTATAAAAATTACATATATGTACCCGCAAAATTAATAACCTTTTGTCTAAAGACCGCAAGGGTAGATATACCAACATCCAGCCAATTTCAATTCATTGCCAATTATTCCATATTTAAGACTGTTGGAACTACAAAATAAAGCTAAATGTGTAATACAATTAAACTCAGTGTAATCACTGGCATGTTGTGAAACTGAAGAAAAATATATTACTATCCTGCCTATTTCTGCCGTGAAGTAACAATGCATACCAGTTTGAAAGAAAAACAGACGTTATTTGAACGCTATAAAACTCCGACCACTTTTCGCAAATTGTGCAGCAGCATTCATATTATGATTACCATGAGTTGTGTATGTAACTATGCCAGTAATCATGACGTATGCAAGCGTAGTGTTCGCTCACGCGGCCCACACCAACTTGAAGCCCCTTCAGGTTATACAATCCCGATTCTGCAGGATAGCCGTCGGAGCACCATGGTTCCTAAGGAACGTGGATCTCCACGATGACCTGGAGCTCGACTCTGTCATAAGTATCTACAGTCGGCATCATTGCGGCGCCACTTTGAGAAGGCGGCACTTCATGAGAACCCTCTTGTCGTGGCCGCTGGAAACTACATACCCGATCCTGTAGGCCTGGTAAACAGTCGACGTCGCTCAAAGCACGTCATTACAGATACTCCTGATCCATTAACGGTGTTTTTAGGCACCACAAACACCGGTCACCGTCCTCGTCGAACCCGTCGCTTTCGACGAAGGGCTCGGCGAGCGAATTAACCCATAGACGCAGCCCACTAAGTTTCTCGCCGGATCTTCTCAGTGGGTCGCGTTTCCGATCCGGTGGTAGATTCTGCAAAGCACTGCTCTTGCTAGGGCCAGTGTTAGCAACACTCCGATTTGAGCCTCGTGAGCTCACCTACACACGTTAGGGTGAAGCTGAAATAGCCTCTCAAGGCAATTAGCATAAGTAGGAAAAAAAAATGCCAGTAAAAATATGTAGAAAAAAAAATATAACTTACAACTTTCCTGGATATCAGATCCTGTTTAACTCTTTCGAGTTCTCTTTTCCGCCGAGAAGCAAGGATAATTTTACAGCCCTGTCCATAAAATACATGAGCCAGTGCCTCCCCAATACCAGAGCTTGCACCAGTAATTAAGACCACCTACAAAAAATCGCCCAGGTAGTTAATTGAATTGGCTGTTTATTGTCTGCCTAGAAAAGAATCCATCTCTACCCCCCCCAATAATCCCCCGTATATTGTTGATACGCTTATTGCTAGCCTGAACTGTTAGGTACCACGATTTTACTGGTTGTAACGAGGGCTGTAAGTTCGCATGAGTAAGTACCGCCATCTTGCTTATTTCATTCTGAGCAGTAGTCAATATGTTCCAAATACCAACAATATTAATATCACAACCTTCAGGTGTTAATGCTTAAGGGCGACTAAAGTTATAACTACCAAAAATTGTTTAGAAATACTAAACTATTTCTTAAAATAAACAGTTCCTTCTTCATAAAACTTGTGAACATATACCAATGTAACACTTGTTATTTTGTTCACACATTAACTGTAATAAAATCCCTTTTATTTTAATCCCTACTAATATATAAATGTGAATGTAAGTTTGTTTGTTACGCTTTCACGCGATAACTACTCAATCGATCATCATGAAACTTTGTACACATATTCTTGAAGGTATTAGAAGTAACATAGGATACTTTTTATTAAGAAAAAAAAATTTTTTTTTACGAAAAATAAAAAAATTGTTTGTCAAAAATCTCAAAATCTAGCTTCTTCAACGCCATCTACCGGTTCAGTAATGAAGTTCCAATCCTAAGTGCTGTAAATGAAGTCGCGGGTAAAATTTAGCGTTATGCCAAAGCAACTATTCCACGCGGACGAAGTCGCGGGCAAAAGCTAGTATACTATAAAATATAAAATGTTATCTACCACCGATCCTATGTTTGCTCTAAATACGATCGCTGAGGAGTTTCGTGCAAAACTTCGGCTTATGCGTATCGCATTCTTGGACATGGAAAAGGCATTTGACCGTGTACCAAGAGATACGATCTGGTGGAGACTTCGCAAGAAGTATGTACCCGAACATTATGTTAACGTCATAGTTGACATATACAGGGATGCGGGGTCAATGGTACGAACAGTAGTCGGTCAGACAAAACCAATAGTAGTTGCGGAAGGTCTGCATCAAGGTTCAGTACTGAGTCCATTCCTGTTTGGCATGGTTTTAGACTCACTCACTGAGGTGACGCAGTCCTCAGCCTCGTGAACTTTCATCTATGCAGACGACGATGCTATCTGCACCGAGAGCCGCACAGAGCTACGAGAGCCACTCCTGTTGTGCAAACAGCAGTTACAGGCCGGTGGCCTAGTATTGAGTGTTGCGAAGACACATTACATGTCTTTTAATGACCCAGATCCAGGTGACAACAGTCCAATTTCCATTTACGGTCAACTTGTAAGCATGTGCGATCAATATAAGTATCTGAGAAGTATGATGCACAGATCTGGGAACATAAAATGCAACATTCAACACCGAATAGCCGCAGCGTGGCTAAAATGGCAAGAAGTAAGTGGTGTCAACCGCGATAGGAGGATGCCCGTTAAACTCAAGGGTATGATCTCTAAGACCATAATAAGGCCTGTTCTTATGTATGGCAGTGAAACATGGGCGGCAACCAAAAGGAACGTGCATACCATTCAAGTTGCTGAAACTAAGATGCTGAAACTAAGATGCTGAGGTGCATGTGCGGCGTGACTAAGCTAGATAAAATCCGCAACGAGTACGTGCGTGGAAACCGCGGTGTACAGGACATCGCCGACAAGATGCAGGAGCGTAAGCTGAGATGGTATGGTCACGTAAAAAGGAAGCCACCTGACTACATGGGAAAGGCACTACTGCTCGACCTCCACGGTCAGAGAACTAGAGGTAGACCCAAGACAAGGTGGAAGGATGTAATGCTGAAGGACAAAAGGGAATGCAATGTTGCTGACGAGGATGTCGAAGACAAAGCGAAGTGAAGGAATAAAGTGAGGAAAGCCGACCCCACCACCAAGTGGAATAAAGGCTGGGAAGAGAATTTACTGGTGGTACTCTTGTGAGTCCGCGCGGATAGGTATCACCACCCTGCCTATACTATACTGTAACTATACTGAGACCCCTAGAACTTATATCTTAGGGTGGGTGGCGCATTTACGTTGTAGATGTCTATGGGCTCCAGTAACCACTTAACACCAGGTGGGCTGTGAGCTCGTCCAAACATCTCAGCAATAAAAAAATTACATTTGTAATATTTGTAATAACAACTTTGAGAGAGAGATAAAATATAAAATGTTCATTAAACAGAGAATATATATTTCAGCTTAAAATACATTTGCATTAAATTTATACAGTAATCTCCCTTAATAACGTGGCAGGTACCCTTCAACACATTTTCATGTTACATGATTTCAATTCCTCATATAACACAGTTTTATAGTATAGGGATTATATTTCTATACATACTGTAAAATATATAATAATTTGACAGTTCATAATTAATTTCGTATACCTTTACATGTTATGTCAAATTGTATTGTTATAAAAGTAAATTAATTTATTAAATTTGGCTTCCTAGTTTTTGAATTTTAAGAATATTGTTTATATTGTATATTGTATTATATTTGTTTTTGTTATGTTACATGTAGTTACTTCATGTTCTTCCTTATTTTCAAAAAGATAGTACGCCACATTGACTGTTTGGATAATATCTTTTAGCTTACTTGGTTATTTTTTGACTAGTGCACTTACTAGGCACAGATGAACACCTTTGTTTATTTGCGAACTTCGAATATTACTACCTATTTTTATATTGTATACTCCAGGAGTGGCCAACCAGTTGATCACGACTATTTGTCCAGTTTAGTCCAGTTGATCATGGCAAGGCCAAAAATATAAATACATAGAACAGACTGCACAATCTAAGAAGAATGCAATGCAAGAAGTTGTTACTAAGATTAAATTTCAGTTTTATGTGTGTAGCATGTTTTATGTATTTTTACTAACAAAATAAAAGTATACTACTCATTTGTAAACAATATATTTCAGTATGAAATATATTAAATTTTAAGAAATGATCATTACTAGATCGCAGCTTCATCAGTAAACAGTAGATCTTGGTTCTGATCAAGTTAGCCACCCCTGGTATTGGGATTTAGTAGTTCAATGGGTTAACAAGATTATGCAATCATATATTTTTGGTAACAGAAATCCCTTACTGTATTTTGAAATAGGACAGTAATATTTGAGTTTTATTGAAATAACATTTTATAATGTTATTTCAGTAAATTTTATTGTTAAGAGATTTAAAGATAATAACTTTAAAAGCTTTATAGAATAATCTGTTTCATATCGGGTTTGCTTCACGGTGTTTCGGGGTCGCCTATCATGATATTTTGGTTACGGTATTAAATATTTTACCATTTATACTTTTCCATAAACCACTAGGTAAAAGTTAGATGTAACTTATGTCAAGACTAGAATCTTTAAAGAGCAAGAGTTTCTACTATAAGGCGAAGTGAACTGTTTATTAGCTTTGATAGTCTAAGCTGAAACAACCAGATGCATTAAGAAAAAACTGATCACAGTGTTATAGTAAGTACTATTATATTGTGTTCACGACCAGACTCGAACCTTCACATGAGACAGGGGCCTCAAAAGGTAATGTATCGCTAGTTATGCGAATTTTATATTAATATCTAATTTAAAACGTAATATTTAAATTGACTGATATGTTTACCTTTCCTCGTAACGTTGATCTCCTTTTCTTTTGAAGAAGATGATTAATTACCCCGTACATTGTTACTCCAACCACAAAAGGTACACCAATGTAAGTGTACCAATTTTTTTGCTGTAACTTCATCAAGCTATTCATTTTTAGACAGATATAAATGGAGAAAACGTTATATTTATTATATTATTTTTGTATATGCAGTGATAATAAAATTTAGGTATTTTTTAAATTAAATTGTAGATAGGCAAGGGTCCAAACAATACACAATATTTTAAACCTAAAGACAAGGGTCATCGACCATTCCACAGATTATCTACGTAACGTAGTTTTATTTTTTCAAATGGAAAGGCAAAGGTATCACACCATACAGCCTAATCTTTTATATTATTTTTTTATGAAATATGATATTATGAAATTAAATGAAGTTGATTAATATGAAACATGGCATGGCATGGCATGAAATGAACTGAACTGAAATGAGATGAGATGATATGATATATTTTTATGAAAAATGATAATATGGAGTGAAATGAAATGAAATGAAGACGATTGATTTGAGACATTAATCATCTGGGATGAATTTAAATGAAATGAGATGATATAGTATGAAATATCATCTCAGTAAAATGGTGATCGCTTATTAAGAATTTTTCAGTGGACTTTTTAGAGGATCCTGAGAAGCTACGTCCAGCGGCTTTGTTTCATTTTCTCACATTTGTGCACTTTCACAGATATTAAACAGTTAATAAACCACCGATATTACACATTTAAACCTGCAGAAATACTAAATAGACAAAATAAAACAAATCACACAACTTCACTCCTCGCGATTCATCGTTTTCGTCGAACCCGTCGCTTACACCGGTCACTCACATGCGCACGAATACGCAAACCCGCAAGTGTAGGACGACATTTGCGAATGATTGTGCAAAGTTTTCGCTGCATTCGTGATTTTCCAAGCTGTATCGGTTTTTTAACAGACATCAAAGCGCGCGAACCTCGAACCTTCGCGTAGTCTCCCACACATTCGCTTGCCCAGTTGCGCCGACGATTGCGAAGGTAACGGACGTATCGCCTTTTTCATAGTTCGTGACGTCTACTGTGTAGCGTATCTTCATCAAAAGAAATCCCATAAAAACAGCATGGCTGTCAATGATGTCTGGGAAAGAATTCAAAACTCTTTTTCTTTTCAATGTTCTATTGACGAATTAAAAAGGAGGAGAAATTCGTGAGACATTCGTAAACCAGTGTAGGAGGAAGCGCAAACGGGTTCGCAAATTGAGTATGCGAACCCATTTGCACAGCCGCTAGGTTTGCGAATGAATGTTTGACGGCCCTTCACATGCGCGCAAACATTCGTACAATGTACGAATATTTGCGCGCATGTCAGTTGCCGGCATTACAACAAAGGGCTCGGCGAGTAAATTAAACCACAGACACAGCCCACTGAGTTTCCCGCCGGATCTTCTCAGTGGGTCGTGTTTCCGATCCGGTGGTAGATTCTGCGAAGCATGCCTTTTGCTAGGGTTCGTGTTAGCAACGTCATCAGGTTTGAGCCCCGTGAGCTCACCTACTAGTTAAGGCGACGCTGATATAGCCTCTTAAGGCTATCAACTTAGGTAGAAAAAAAAAACTCGCGTTCCCGCCAAAAAGTCCCTGCAAATGCAAATAAATAAAATCATAAATTAGGCATACACACAATATTTCAATTATGTTCCCTGCTTTTTATGTCCCTCTTTGGTAAATAAAGATAGGAACTAAGGTGTTTTTTTAAAAGGTTTTTTGCCTGGTTACGAAACTTTTGAGCCAAGTCTTATTTTTCTTTTAATCTTTTAAAATATGAAAAATAATGTGGAGTGAAATTAGATCATGTTGATTAATTTAACGACTTTGACTTTAATGAATTGCGATGAAACTAAATGAAAAGAGATGAGTTGAGATGAAATAAAATCTCAATAAAATGGTAGTTTATTATCAATACTTTTTTAGTGGACTTTTTAAAAGAGACTCGAGAAGTTACGTCTAGCGGTATTGTTTCATTTTCCCATATTTGTGCACCTTCAGAGATGCTAACTAATTAATAAAGTACAATTATTACACATTTTATCCTTAAGAAACACTAAATTAGCTAAAACGATCCACACAACGTCGTTCCTCGCGATCCCGTCTTTTTTTTTGCCTACTTAATGGTAGTAACCTCAAGATATGGTAGCTTCACCGAACGTATAGGTGTGCTTACGGGGCTCAGCTCGAAGACTTTACGTACACTAGCCCTAACAAGAGCAGTGCTTCACTGTATCTACCAAATACACTGGATTGGAATGTCTATCCACTAAGAAGTTCCGCCGAGGAAGTCAGTGGACTGTATCTGTGATTTAATTTTCATGATGTACCCTTCATCGCAATCTATGAACGGACATGCGAACGGTGACCGGTGCTTGGAATGCCTAAAAGCACCGATCCAAAACGACATTCCTTCTTCGAACGAGCCTTGCAGACATATTATCCGACCGCGACGGGGCAACGCAAAGCCGCCGTCACCCGAAACATGCCTTGTCGGATCCCTCGGATTCACTCTCGGTACTTTTAGGCCGCTCAAGCACCGGTCACCGTCCTCGTCGAAACTCATCAATTATGACGAAAAGTTCGACGAGGCTCGAAGAGTTCGACGAAAAGCTCGGAACTAACTCATAGACACTGCCCACTGAGTTTCTCGCCGGATCTTCTGTGTGGGTCGCGATTCCGATCCGGTGGTAGACTCTGCGAAACACTGCTCTTACTAGGGCTAGTTTTAACTAATTCTCTCAGGTTGAGCCGGTGAGCTCACCTACCCGTCCGGGCGTAGCTGGTATAGTCCCTTAGGCTACCGGTGAATATGTAGGGAAAAAAGACAACTCAATGGCAGCGACTTGGTTGTGCCCCTGGCATTGTTGACGTCCATGAGCGACAGTAATCACTTACCATCAGGTGGGCTGTATGGTCATCGGTCTACAAAGGCAATAAAAACAATTACGATTTTTGGCTACGACGACTGCTTACCGCTTAGTCATCTAGATCGTGTTTGTCACGTTTGTAGTTGCCGGCGGCCACGTTAAGAGCGTGATCGTGTGGCACCGCTTTTTCGAAGAAGCGTTGTGACGTTATGTTTAGACACTTACGCATTGAATCTAATTCTAGGTCGTAGTGAAGATCTACGTTCCTCACGCACCACGGTGCTTTGAGGGCTATTCTGCAACAACGGTATTGAATGACTTGTAGTGTGTTTATGCGAGTACAGGCCATAGGAGCGAACACTACACTTGCATAATTCATGACCAGAACGTATGCTAATTTCGTAGTTACCTTATTTCTAATGGACTACTTACTTCACTTGCATATCATCGTACAGAGTCGTCAGAGTAGAAACGCGGCTCAGGCGCGCACCGCATTTATGTGGGGATAGGATGTCATCTCTCTGTGATGATGACGCCTAGATATTTGCACTTCAAGACCAACATTATGGGCTAGCTGAAGGGGGTCATTTTGGTGAATGGTGAATGGTATTACCGCGCATACTACGGAGTGGGCGTTCCCGCCAAAAAATTTTTTTTTTTTATAAATTATGAGCCATTGACTGTATCATAGACATATTTCACTTTTTGGGTTGTCTAATTGGAAAAGCAAAAGAAGCGTAGCTCCATACATATAGTCCTTTTAATTTTATACAAATCATAGCTAGGAATTTATGAACAGTTCACTTCACCCGAGAGGCCACGTCCATCGATTTTACTCTATTTCCCCCTTCCTTTTTCAATTGTTTTACCAAGACGGATACCACAAAACGAAAGAGAACGGATTGAACAGAAAATCAGTTGAAGCCTCGAAGTATTCTAGAATACGATTATTTCAATTCAATCTTTTAATTTTTAAAAGTAGTATAAATTAAATAACTTGATAAGTCCTGAAATAATTATCAAAAATAATAATTGGGAAGGAAGGAACCACGCTCTTAAAACGGTTAGGTATTGAAGGTTACAAATCAAGTTTAAGTATGGAGGTTTACTTCCTACTGGTAATTAACAAAGTACCTCCATGTCTAGGAACCAAGGTGGCGTCCTTGCTAACACGCACAGATTGAGTTATCTATCTTAGATATGATATTTGGTATAACATTATGTTTTCACCGGAAAGTATGTGAATCGAATGTCGTAGTTCATAACCTTGGTAAGCTATGTAGTTAAATGCTCCTTTAAAACAAAATATATTAATCGGCCAACGTAGCGTGTATTTGCTTTAATAAATAGGACAGTTTGCGGTCTGTGTTTAATGTAGCAGCCGGTCTACTAATCGATTGGTAGTTTTATAAAACAGAGAGAATCGTGTAAGGCTTTATCCAGGAAAAAAAATACTTGGTTAATTCTTTCTGAATTATGTACTGAGCGCCGGTGAAACCGCTCGGCAAGTCTCGTACCGACTTAATAAATCTGTATACGTAAATGTAAATATACTTCAACTAAAAAGACATACTAGTATATTTAAAATAATTATTACCTGAATCCGAAGAGAAGATACATACTAAATAGATTAAGGCTGACCCTACAGTCGAAGGAGAAGATGATGATGATTTTGTTATTCAGGTCGTATTGGTCAGGAAATTACGCTAAAGGGATACAATTACTACATCGTTATTAATTAATTTTACGTTGAAAATTTCCACTACATAGAGAAATTTATACATGTTAAGCTAATAAAAGTATATTAACTAATAAAAGTATATTAAAAACTATTAAACGACTAGGCTAACAGTAGGTTCCTACAAAATGATGTAGGTAGCGTCTAATTTTCTAAAACATAATCTATGCACCTCATAGCTAGCGTCATCTGGAAAAAATTTACAGTTTATGGCAACACCAATCTGCAATTTCTTGAGCTAAATGTTGAGATTATGTTTAATTTTTTCTGGCTATGTAAAATACAAATAGTTAGCAATGTTTCTGTGAGTATTTCATGTATATCAACACGGAATCTTTTACATACAAAGTATCGAAAGTTTTTCGTATCTAATGGGAGTGTCGTTTAGATGCGCTGACCTTCGTTTTGATGCACAACTCACAACAAAGCATCAAATTGACGGCTGCCCCATTTTCACAACAATCTTAGGATTTGTTACTGGTTAATTATTAGTGAAAATCAATTACTATGATGAGGTTCCAAATGATAAACAGCAACCTGTTATGTGCCAAGTGTTACGTGAGTGGAAAGTAAAATGATAATGGAATCGGCGACTACGCAAACAATTTTGTACGGTGTGATTTGTCGTTCAGAACCACAGACTTTCTTTTTAACTTCTAGGAAAGTATTATTAAACCTGAGGAAATAAAATTGTTGGATCAAAATGAATGAGAGGGATATTCCCAGTGTCCCCATTACAACACTAGCAGGAGTAGCTAGTCTGACAGATTGTAAGTACTTTATTTTAAGTAAATACAGAATTTACATGTTAGCATAATTATATTATAAATACAAGATAATCATGATGATATAGATCATGAGCCCTTGGGTAGTTTAATTAAAATTCAAGCATAAACATAAGTAAAATTTGCCATCAAATATCCATGTAGTTATAGAATTGTAATTTTATGATGTTATCAATTTATCAAAAACATTTTTCATAATTATGCACAATACATCAGTTAAATTAAATAATATTTAGCATTAAATATCAAATGTCAGTTATTAATTAACTGTTACTTAATTCTTCTCTTTCACCAGACATAATTCAACAAACTTTAAAGTTACTGTCACAACTTGTATTAATACTTGAAAGTGATAATACCCATAGTATAAAGTGAATTATGAATTGGTTCATATGGATATTATGAAAGAGCAGTTTATTTTTCAACAAAGTTAATTGAGTCAAGTAATATTGGTGTCAGTCAACCAAAACTTTCATGTGCTTTCATAGTCTTGTTTAAGTCTTAATTATTGCTCTATACTCCTCCATACCAACTCCATTGTGTTTAGAATGTGCTGCTTTGAAATTAAATGAATAATTCTGATTCTAATTCTATCATTTCATTCTGACTCTATCACAATACCTGAGTGAGTAATAACAATGTTATCTAGAAATTATGTACGAGAAAATTAAATGTAAAATTAAAATCTCTCTAAATCGAGATTTCATTGATTTTGGAGTTGGGTTATAATTTTGTATTTTTAATACTTTCACTGCAACATTAGTTTATCTTTCTTTAATGCAAAAAGTGTGTCAAACGAGGTTCAACTAAGCTTATAAAATCTAACAGATTATTGTGGCCTAAAGCATAAGATACCATAGGCACTCATAGTTAGTGAAGTTATGATGCTGGTGTTTGGTTGGTAGTTTTATAATAAAATACTTATTTAACTCATGTTCGTAACTGACTTCTGTGATGAAAAAGTAACTTCACATACAAAAATCAAAATGCCAAAATTGCATAAAATAATTTGCATATTTATTATACAATTGAGACACACTTTAAAGTGGTTCCAACCAATCCAAACCAATTTTAAAGTGGTTTGAGGCATTTAAATTATATTCTCTGGTAACGACTTAAAACCAGGATCTTGTTAATTACAAATATTTAAAAAAAAGCTATGTAATACATAGATTTACTCTGCAGATTTACACTTGTTTGTCTTTCTTTGACTATGTTCGGGTAATAAACTCTAATTGCCAATAAGCAGCATTTCTGTATTTATACCCACATACAAGTGAATCTCCTTGTATGCCAGTATTAATGATCTTCTTATTGAAGCCATGTCAATCACTGCCAATCCCGTTTATGAGTTTTATAAAAATAAAAAGCAAAACTTATAATTACCATACTTCAGTAATAGCCATTTACACTTCTATACTAATATTATATATTATATATAATTATAAAGAGGAAAGGTTGGTTTGTTTGTATTGAATAAGCTCCAAAACTACTGAACCGATTTGAAAAATTCTTTCACTGTTTGGAACCTACACTATTCCCAAGTGACATAGGCTATAATCTTATTTTTAAAAATTAGGGATCCTTACTAAAACTCCAATAATGTAAACTAAGGTGTACAAAATTACCCAAAATATTCTTTACACTGCATGCCCTGTGAAAACTTGATGATAGAATAAAATAATGTACTACGAGTTTGTAGAACACATTATTATTTATAAAAAGTGTTGAGACAGCATGTCTAACTATTATACTTATGCCGCAATAAGTGTTCTTTTATTTAATAAAATAAAACAATGTCAAATATTGATGAAATTTTTGTTAAAGACCCGAGCGGAGCGGAAGCGGGCCGCTGGTCTATTATATGAAAGCACTCAGTTACTGGATTTTTTCTGATTTGACATATTTTGTATTCATTGTTATCATTGTTAGATCCAGACCTTAGTCTTGTTGTCTTAAAAATTCTTTTTACTTAGCACTTTATATATTTTCCATATCGTTTACATTCAAGACACAATTATTATATATTTTAAACTAAATGTTTAAAAAAGTTTATTATTTCCAATTTATTGTTATTATAGTTGTATTGTTTCAGTTGTGGGTATATATATTTATAAAACAGATTAGATACAGAACAGAACAGAAACAGATAGAAGTATTTGAAAATATTACTATTTATTATTAATAATATTAATATTATTAATATAATTATAGTAATATATATGATTTTTATCTGCTTAAATAATTATTTGAATCACTACACTTTAAAACTATTTTTAAAATAATCAAATTCATAAAAAATAAAATATTTATATATTAACTTAAACAAAACATGCAGAGTATATATTAAATGTTTTTTCAGTATTACCAGTGTTACCACTTCCAACACCTTTACCGTCAACATTAAATAACAAGTCGCAACTTTTCCACCCACTGGTGGCTGAAGAGGCAGCAAAATTATTGGCAACACGAGATAAAGATTTAGTTTCGCAGCTTCTTGAGTCACTAATGCAAACGTCTGTACGGAATATGTAAGAACAATTTTGAAACAATATTAAAATTTGTTAGATTCATATATATATGTGGGAAAATGTTAATTTTAATTCTAATTTTAATTTTGTGTTGAAATTTTCAGAGATTTAAAGGATGAAAGCATTCCAAATGCAGTTAGTCCTGCACCTCAACAACAATCTACACCTGAATTGTTGAAGGCAATTTTAAGCATAAATCCCAATGTATTTGATCAACAGCAACAAAATCATTGGAGTAACAATAGTATACACACATCAAAATTTAATGGGATATCTCCATCTCCATCATATAGTTATACACAACATAATGCAGTTCCCTCAAGCCCTTCGACATTAGGGACAGCAATTCACTCTGGGACCATTCCCAGTCAACAGTTGTTGGCTCCACCATGTCAGTCATCACCTCACGTAAACATGGGTTCCCCTCCATCCCAGGCCAGACCAGGTTCCCAACTTAATATCACTGGACAAAATAGTATATCCCCGATTTGGAGTAATGCAAATTCATCCAGTACATATCCGAGTCCGCAGTCCACAACTTGTTCGAATCCTCAAAATGGTGGATTCTACAATAGTATAGTTTCAGACAATAGAAATTTTGATACTAATATTAGTGATGAAAAAGATCCATTATCTATGTCACCAACAAATCAACCTGAACAACAAAGGTTACACATGCAAATGCAAGACAAAACTTTTGAACAAGGTAAACTAATATAACATTTTTTAACAATACTTTCTGTACACATTAAATATAATTTTGAACAAAACGTGACGTTTGACTATCTGGTTTTCAACAGCTGATGGTAACGTTATGACTGGCCAATCTCCAGCCCAAGCTAGTGTAGCGCCATCACCCTTACGACAAGAACCTCATGTGCCTCAGCCGTCAATGGGTGCACCTTATGCTCCCATACAACAAACACAAAACACTGCTACTGATAAGCAAGACAACAAAAACGCCAATGCAAACAACAGATATCCTGTAGTAAAACTTGGCCGTCTATCTGTAAGTATCCAACAGCAATAATAATTACAAACATGTGTTGTTCTGCAATTTTTTTATTAATATATAATTTTGCTAAATCATTTCAGGATGGAATTCTGAAAAAACACGACTTTTCTAATGATTCTCGATCCAGAAAAAATAGTGTTCTTGAATCGGATTCAGATGAAAACGCGCCGCTTAAACCAAAATCTAGTAATTGCACTCCCACTGTAGACAAGGAAAGGGAAGCCATAGATATTGCTAGAGAAAAAAATTGGGAAGCTGTTAAAAGGAAACATGAAGAAGCTAGTAAAAAAGAAGAAGCTGAGGCAGCTATAGGTGATATTTTATTTACAATGCAATTACAAAAATATACAGTGTGTATCATACATAACCTTTGTCAAAAAGTATGATAAGCGGAAATTATTTCTATATTAACTAAAACATTCAGTTAAATTCACATTATATTAAAGTTTTACGTGTTGTATTTTGCAAAATATGGGAGTTATCTAGAATCACATATCCATACATATTTTAGCTTTATACCGGTCACTCACATTCGCACGAATACGCAAACCCGCAAGTGTAGGACGACATTTGCAAATGATTATGCAAAGTTTTCGCTGTATTCGTGGTTTTCCAAGCTGTGTCGGTTTTTTAACAAACATCAAGGCGCGCGAACCGCGATCCTTCGCGCAGTCTCCCACACATTCGTGTGACCAGTTGCGCCCAGGATTGCGAAGGCAACGGACGTTTCGCTATTTTCATAGATCGTGACGTCTACTGTGTAGCGTATCTTCATCAAAAGAAATCCCTTAAAAACCCCATGGCTGTTAATGATGTCTGGGAAAGAATTCAAAACTTTTTCTCTTCAATGTTCTATTGACGAATTAAAAAGGAGGAGAAATTCGTGAAACAATCGTAAACAAGTGTAGGAGGAAGCGCAAACGGGTTCGCAAATTGAATACCGAACCCATTTGCATAGCCGCTAAGTTTGCGAATGAATGTCTGACGGCCCTTCACATGCGCGCAAACATTCGTACAATGTACAAATGTTCGCCCGCATGTGAGTGGCCGGCATTAGAATAATCTCTTTACACTATCATATTTATACATGTAATGTAAGAAAAAAAAGAGACGAATTTGATACTGTTTCACATTCTTATCATGACTAAAAATGTTTCCATTACAATTTGTTTTTTTTTTCCAGTGCGACCCAAACTAAGAAAAGTCGAAAGACGATTAGTACCTGTTTTAGAAATGTTGTCAGTGGATGAATTAATGGAAACAAACACGTATCAACGATTCAATAAATTAATTGAATCGGTATTTGAAACCATTGATGATGATGTAATTATAACAGAAGAAATGGGTAAGTGATTTCTTTGTTGTAATTATACTCTTTTACTCTCACATTAATTTGCACATGTGCACTTAACAAAATGCATTAATAATACAATTTCAATAATCTCAGTCGCCACATATTCGAAATTATTTGTAGTCGTTGTGGCCTAAAGGATAAGACCAATACCGTCTTTACCATAAGGCCACACGGGGCCCGTGCCCAGGGCCCCCATTCTCAGGGGGCCCCTAAGGACCGACAATTTCTCACACATTTATTCGGTTTCCGTTATGGTGATCGTAACCAAAAAACCAGCAGCATTCTAATATCATTAATGACATAATATATTATATCATACCGTATTTGATTACCTATAATAAATGGTTATACTCAGTAAAAAAATGTTATTATAATTCGCTTTTTTATACTTTCCAAAAGGGCCTCAAATTCTTGTGTGCCCAAGGGCCCCAGCCTAATTTAAGACGTCCCTGGATAAGACGTCCGGTGCATTCGTGTTGAAGCGATGCAACGGTGTTCGAATCCCGCAGGCGGGTACCGGGTTATTCTAATGAAATACGTACTCAACAAATGGTCACGATTAACTTCCACGGTGAAGCAACAACATCGTGTAATAAAAATCAAACCCGCATAACTATAATTTGCGTAATTACTGGTGGTAGGACCACTTGTGAGTCCGCGCGGCTAGGTACCACCGCCCTGCCTATATCTGCCGTGAAGCAGTAATGCGTTTCGGTTTGAAGAAAAACAAAAAAATTACAACAGTAAAAATTTTGAATACAGAAATCATCAAATTTTTATCGTTTTTTTCGAATTCACTTTTAAATTGTAAACAGACAGCCGTTTTACGCAACTGATTCATAAACTTCGTAATTTTTGCTGAATTTGAGTTCACTTTTTCTTTTCATCTATGTCATCTATTTCATACTTTTAGTGAGCTGGGAACCAGTTACATTTCTTCGTTTTATATTCAACAACGAACCATCCCTACTGTATTCCTAGTTTCTTCCAGAGAATTGACTCGAGATATGTAATAATATTTTAATATTTTAAGAGGGTACTGATATCCCAGAAGAATTACTGCTGCCACGGTATCAACTTCAGGAACTGTGTTCGGAGGCAGCAAAATTGAAAAACCTTGGTGCTATGGAAGCAATACCTTCAGACAGATTAGTTCGCCTATTGAATATATTAGAAAAAAATATAAGAGCGTCAGAGAAAATGTCATTGTTGGGCGATCCTGTAAGTAATTTGCTAGATTATCTTTAAATTTTATTAATCTTTTTGTTACAGTTTCATTTTATATGATTCTTACCAATAATGGTTGCTTCACAGGAAGACAGTGAAGAAATGCGGCAGATATGGATAGAATCAGCTTTAGAAAGAGTGATGTGTGCGTCAGATGCATGTCTCACGTCTTTGTACATAATGACATCCCCGAGCATGCCGAAACGAATATTTTTAGAAGACGTTATAGATAGAATTATTATGTTCATTAAATTCCAATTAAACAATACCATTTACTGTGTATATGATCCTGTATATAGTATTCAGACGACATCTAAAAGGAAAGGTAAATAATGATGGATTTCCTTACAAATAATTTAATATGGCCTGAAACCAAATTTTTACTGNATAATGACATCCCCGAGCATGCCGAAACGAATATTTTTAGAAGACGTTATAGATAGAATTATTATGTTCATTAAATTCCAATTAAACAATACCATTTACTGTGTATATGATCCTGTATATAGTATTCAGACGACATCTAAAAGGAAAGGTAAATAATGATGGATTTCCTTACAAATAATTTAATATGGCCTGAAACCAAATTTTTACTGTTATAATATAACACATTCACTGTTGAATGAATATTAAGACCGTTCACACCACAAGTTATAGCGCATAAGTGAATATGTTGTCAGTTAATTAAATTGTTTTTAAATTACTCACTTTGTTTTTGAGATTTATAAATTAGTATTTTCTTTGGTTTTTGCAAATTGGAATAGGGAAACACAACACTATTGTTGGAGAATATATCCGTAATATAACAGACAAAACACAGTTTGGAAAGATCCTTAACAGTGGAGATGTTAATTAGAAACAATAACAAATAAATTATAGGTACGAAACTATAAGTTGAAAAGTGTCAATGCTGTGAATAATAATTGTACCGTTGAAAATTTCCAGTGGACGGCCGCAAGCGTCGCGGCGGCGGGGCGGGGCTCGCGACGCGTCGCTGCGGCGGCTCCACGCGCGCCGTCAAGGAGCTGTACACGCACGCGCACGAGAGCGTCACGCTGCTCGCGGAACTGTTCGCGGCGCACCACCTCACCGACACCACGGTGCTGCACGCCTCCACTGTTGGCGTCTCGCCCTTCTTCGTAGAGAACGTCAGCGAGCTGCAGCTGTCGGCGTTGAAACTCGTCACGACGGTCAGTGCACATTACACACCTCCCACACTTACTGGTGGTAGGACCGCTTGAGAGTCCGCGCGGGTAGGTACCATCACCCTGCTTATTTCTACCGTGAAGCAGTAATGCGTTTCGGTTTGAAGGGTGGGGCAGCCGTTGTATCTATACCTGAGACCTTAGAACTTATGTCTCAAGGTGGGCGGCGTATTTACATTGTAGATGTCTATGAGCTCCAGTAACCACTTAACACCAGGTGGGCTGTGAGCTTGTCCACCCATCTACGCAATAAATAAAAAAACACTCGATTGCAATCATCATAATAATAATTATTCTTATTAACATCCTCTGTATTAACTTTTTATAACTTTGGACGTTAAATATTCCATGCTTTTGACCATTAAATTAAACACCATGCTGATCACGTAATTCTTGTTTTTAAAGTATTTGAATATTTTTAATCATAGTAAATCTCTTACATTTCTATAGAGCGAAGTGTCCATATAAAAAAAAGCTAGTTCAGCTAGATACGAAAGTGTATTTTTATCATTTTTTTAGATATAATTTATTGTTTGCAGTTTTGAAAGTATGTTATGTCAATAGATTTTGTCATTCAATATCAGTTAAATTAGTTGACATTTTTAATATTCACGACCTATCTCGTGGTTAAGTGGTTACCATAATCTTGAGTCACCACAACGAGAATGCCATCACCTACCTTGAAAATTTCGATCTAAGACGTGTGGTATACTATCCACTATTGAGTCCGGACTGACAACTAGTTTGTGGCAGCATAGGGAGCAGCAGCAAGATGGTGATAACCCCTGCGAGCTCACAAGTTGCTCTACCGAAACTCTAACAGTTTATAGTTTCTTCCATGTAAAACTTATTTTATATTCACATCACTAATTTTACTTTTCTAGATATTTACAAAATATGAACAACATCGACGTCTCTTACTGGAAGATATATTGGCATCGATAGCCCGTATACCCAGTTCAAAACACAATTTGCGTTCCTTTCAACTAAATGCTGATCAACATATTCAAATGCTCACGGCGCTTGTCTTACAACTTGTACAATGTGTCGTCACTCTGCCAGAGACGCTTTGTAAATCTAATGAGAAAGACAAGGAACATTCAGAGTCTTCTGATAGTAAAAAAGTAAGTTCCTAGATTTTATGATTCACAATAGCAACACTATATATATTGTAACAAATATAGGCCCATTATTTTTAATTCTAAATCTTGTTTACCTATGATTATGATCAGTGTAACCACATAGAAACGCTTTACTTATTTAATTTATAGGATAGTTCATAAAATCTTAAAACAATTTTTTTATTCGTTTATTTATATGCAACACGAAAATGCGTAATGAAAGGCTTCAACCAAATTAAACTGTTTTATTTTTAGCCTGTAGATAAAGACCTGCTCATAATCTCAAAGTACGAAGCGGCAATAAGCGTAGGTGGCACATTCCTAACGTCATTCCTAAACAAATGTCGGAGTCGTTCCGAAGAGGTGGACTTCAGGCCGCTGTTTGAAAATTTTGTACATGACCTCTTGACGACCGTTAACAAACCCGAGTGGCCCGCGACGGAATTACTGCTCAGCTTACTCGGAACCATGTTGGCAAGTCAATTTTATTGTATTAAATCGAATTTGTGTTCACCACTGACAATATTAATAAAATCCATATAAAATAAATATTTATGTACAGTAGACGCGCGAGTTCATGTCCATCCTGAGGAATGCGGTAGTGCTGTGACCTAGTTAATAATGGTAATGTCGATAATAACTACCGATTTAGTCAACAGCTGTCAATTTGGCTTAATGTAACTTAAGATAATTTTGCAATTTATGAAATAAAATAAATGTGTTATTAATTACTTGTTTCTTTCTAATAGAGAAAAATATTTTTTTAATTCCAATTCAATCACTATCAAATGAAAAGACAACCAACAGATCAGAGTCGGAATCAGTTTGTATCTTTTTTCAGTAGGTTTTTTTCTATCTGAACTTGTTGGAAGCGGAGTAGTCGTGGCTAAATAACAGCGTTAGCGTAAATTTTGATATCGATAAGCGCGCGTCACAACCGTCAAGGACAACACTCGACGTCAGACAAACGCGGGAAGGCGGGTGAATGTGGGGCGAGCTGTCCCCCGCGCGTCGCCTCTGGCCCCGATAGACATGAACTCACGCGCATATGCATTTTAAGGTTTAGCTCACACTGTAAAATAAAGCGCATTTTTAAAATAGCGCGGGTGGGCTCTGAAAAAACAATTAAAGGACGGAGCCCATAATAGTCTCATTATTTGGCAGGTGAAGTACATGTCGGACAAATCTATGGAGATGTCCGTTCGCGTGGCGTCGCTGGAGTACCTCGGGCTGGTAGCAGCGCGTCTGCGCAGGGACAGCGTGCACTCGCGTGGCAAGCTCGCCGCCATGGACGCTGTCGTGAGGGATATCCGCGCCGAGGAGGAGAAGGATGGCACCCACGGCCAGGTATTTGCCTTCTATCCTCTATTACATCTCTAGCTCATCGCCAATGGGCACAATTCTCATACATGTAACTATTCCGATCGCTTAGAACGTGACGTCCGGCCTCGACGAGGATGAAGAGAGAACGGAATTCCTGCAGCGGGTCCTGCTGGATTATCTCGCGATAAACGGGCAGAAGGATCAAGCTTGGAATTGCGCTCGACATTTTTATATCACGCAGTGGTACAGGGATATGGTGGTTCAGCCGAAGAATACATCGCCGACAAAAAAGCCTAAAAATAAATCTAAGAAGCGTCATAGAGAACTTTCTAGCGAGGAGGAATCGGACGCCGACGAAGACAGTGATGGAGGCCTGAAGGACTCTAAATCGGATCGAAAGCATATCGCGAGTGCTATCGATTCGGCAGAAAAATTCAAAACAATAGAACGAAGAAAGAATTTCTTTATAGAAAAAATTAGGCCATTCCGGTACCAGGGTGGGACCCAAGTGCAGGTGATGCAATCGTACATAGATTATAGTGGAGCTGAACTTATTTCGCAATATCTAGCTTCAAAAAGGTCTTTCTCGCAAAGCTTTGATCGGTATTTGCGAAAAATTCTTGTTATACTGTGCGAAAATACGATCGCCATACGAACGAAGGCGATGAAATGCTTGGCGATGATAGTCGAAGCAGATCCGTCCGTATTGGCGAGGCCTGATATGCAGATCGGAGTGAACCGATCGTTCCTCGACCAATCCACGGCAGTGCGGGAAGCTGCCGTCGATCTCGTTGGAAAATTCGTCTTGAGCAGACACGATCTTATCGACAAGTATTACTCTATGCTCTCAAACAGAATATTGGTAAGTTTCTAATTTAATAAAACTACAGAAAGAATGTATGAATGTTTGTCACTGTTTTTATTAATTGTAAATGTACATTTTCAGGATACTGGCGTATCAGTAAGGAAACGTGTAATTAAAATTTTAAAAGACATCTGTATAGAATGCCCCGAGTTTCCTAAAATACCCGAGATATGTGTAAAAATGATCAGACGAGTAAATGACGAGGAAGGTATCAGGAAACTGGTTATGGAAGTATTTCAGAACATGTGGTTCAGTCCATGCCTAAACACCAGCCGGCCGGGAGCCCTCGACATGACGGCGGCGGCCGCCGACCCTCTCACCAGGAAAGTCCTGAACATCACGGACGTTGTTATTTCGTCCAGAGACATCGGTCTCGAATGGTTTCAGCAGTTACTTATGAGCGTAAGTATTTTTAATAATTCAATAAATTTTACTTTCAGCAACGATTTCTTACCTCCATTCAAATTCCAATTTTTTTTCAGTTATTCAAACCTAAAGAAGATAAAGATGATTCCACTAAAATAATATATCAACCGCCTAAATCGCTGCTAGTAGCTTGTCAACAAATAGTCGACTGTCTTGTAGAGAGCTTACTACAGTTGGAAGAGACTAGTTCAGAAGGTGAGATTGAACTAAGAAAAAATACATATCAAATAAATTCAAAACTGTGATTACTAATAATCTATTGGATATTTTCAGGTTCCAGTTCACCACAAAGAATTTTAGCGTGTCTCTCAACTTTGCATTTATTTGCAAAAATCAGACCGCAGCTGCTCGTTAACCATGCCTTAACTTTGCAACCGTACCTCAGTTTGAAATGTCAGGTGGGCTTACTTATTAACTTGCGTAGCTATCTATATAGCTCATATATAATATTATTAACTCTATTATCGTATTAAAGGACAGTAACATAGTTGATCGGATATTATGAAATTTACCAATGAAATATCAAACAACTTTTAAGAGAAGCTAGTGCCGTCTCAATTACTGAATTTAAAACAGTTATTATTAATTAAACTGAATGTCAATACATGAACTTTTTTTATTTAATTTACTTTTTTTATATTTTTTGTGTTGACAAGATGAACGATGGCATTCACGTTGTGGTGTGTTAAGGGTTGGGGCAACTGCTTAAGGTCAGATCGAGGTCCTCTCATTATAGCCAGACTTCGTAGTCTAATAGCTATGACGCTCCAGCGACAGTGTATGTACATAAATGAAGAAAATATATACTTAGCACACGGTCATGAATGACTTTCACAGTGAAGGAATAGCATTAGTATGACCGCAGCTTAACCCGATAGATTTTATAAATTTGAGTAATTACTATTAGCAGGACATATTGTAGCCCGCTCCAGTAGAGTGCACCCGCCCGTGCATTACAATCACAGGCTCCCAAGGTGATCCGATAATTCCGTTTTAGAATCAACACGAGCAGCAAATAATGTCGACAGTGGCGTCCACTCTTGAACTAGTCGTACCGCTAATGGAGCACCCGAGTGAAGTATTCCTGGCTCAGTTGGAAGAAGATGCCGTTAAACTTATTCTGCAGCGCGGTCAACACGTCATCGCTTCATGCATAGCCTGCTTAGCAGCTATAGTCAACAATCTCACGCATAATTATAAACTAATTAGGGATGTATTTAATAAATATCACGGTAAGATATAACATTTTTTAATTGGATTAATATTTTAAATATATTCAATTATCCGAGTATAATTATTTTGTTTATAGGAGTCCTACTCCAATGGAAAAGCAGTTGGCAGCGGAACCCCGAAATGACACGTTCATCACATTCGAGACCTCATTTTCGTCGTGCACTTTTCATCGTGGGCTTATTACTCAGATACTTTGACTTTACGGACATCAAAGTCATTGATGGTCTTCCAGTGAGTATAGCATTACTTTAACGGACATAAAAAAGCTAAGCTAGTCTTAACTAGTGTTCGCACACAATGATGATCGAAATCAGACCGTAATTGACACCTCAGGATTTATGTTCATTTTACGTAATAATATTTTTTCTCTAATGTTGACGTTTTGGAAATAAAATATAAGCGTTCTATAAAATTTTAAGTGACAACACGAAAGCTCTTCTCATTAACAATTAAACAAAAACAAGAAAATCTGTGAACAAATAAAGGAAAAAATTGTATTTCATTGTTGTCGTTACCTGTTTATACTTAAAACTGAAATCGTTATGGCCTAAAGGATAAGACGCCCTGTACATTGGTATCGAATGATGCGACGGTGCCGGTGTTCGAATTCTGCAGGCAGTTACCAATTTTTCTAGTGTAATACGTACTTAACAAATGTTCACGAATGACTTCCACGGTGAAAGAACGGTCGTGTAATTAAAATCAAAATTATATTTCGCATAATTAATGGTGTTAGAGCGTCTTGTGAGCCCGTGCGGTTAGGTACCACCACCCAGTCTATTTTTGTTGTGTATTTCAAAGCAGTATATCCAGTGGCGTAGCTACCTAGGGGCCAGGCCGGGCAGTGCCCCGGGGCCCTCAAGCTCAGGGGGCCCTCGAATCCTTACCAGAAATCTCGATCGAACTGAACTTTTGGAAATTTCTCCTATTTTTAAAATAAATATTGCAACTCCACTTTAATCATGACAACTCAGTTGAGAGAAATTCAAAAGTTATGCCTAGGGAATTCCCCTAAATTCTTTCTGTAGGTTGGCAGTGTTGTCAATTTGACGGATAGTGATATGTGCGTTTTATTGTGAATTCGAGTTAAGCCTCGAAGGCTCCGTCGGTCGGGCGTCCTTTGGGTGAGCTGCGCCGTTTGGTTGTAGTGTTCACCGCGATAACCCTTACTTCATCCGGGTTTTGACCTCGGAGGGGATCGGACGCTTGGGCGAGAGTGCAGGGGAGTTGCTTAGTGCGGTAGGGCCCTGAAAACATTCCTGTACCCGCGGTTTCGCAGTCGCAGACCAGTTCCACATACCCCACGCGCACCCTAGGCGCGGGGACCTTGTAGGAGGTTCGGCCCCCAGCCCAAAAAAAAAAGGCCCGACCTTTATATAATAAACCCTTGAATCTTCTCTATTTCGTTTTATTAGCCAAACCTACACCAAGTATTAATTGTAATTTATGTTGTTACTGTTTAATATTTTTATTACCTGCCCTGCAGTGCACAAAAAAGAGCTTAAGTAGCTTAGTATTTTTAAAGTATTTCATATTTTTATTTGATAAAACCTAATCTTACATAGCAGTGGGGCCCCATTTTTTAATTTGCCTCAGGGCCCTTGGTTACCTAGCTACGCCACTGAGTATAGCGTTTCTGCTTGATGGCTGGGGCAGCCGTTGAGGCTTAGAACTCATGTCTTAAGGTGGGTGGTTGCGTTGCGTTGTTGATGTCTGTCTATGTGCTCTGGTAACTACTTAACACCACCATGTGTGCCGCAAGCTCGTCCACCCATCTAGAAATTAAAAAATGACTACTACTTTTAGGGCTTAATGTCGCGTGTTTTTATTGTCACATTATTTCTGACGTTCCGTAAATCTATTTGTGTATTTATGCCAATATACCTGTAATTAAAACGTCATATAAACAACAGTATATATTAAAAGTTTGTAATTTTTATTTTTAGAACGACATAAAAGAACAGGTTTATTCAACGCTGATGTTTTTTGTGGGTTTGGAAGATGAGGACTTCGTCTCACATACTCTTAAAGCCCTGGGTTCAGTGTGCGTACGGCATTACGAATTCATGTTACGCCCTGAACTCAAAGAATTCTACCATCAACTACTGACTTCAGATTTAGCTCCGATAGAAATGAAAGTAGACGTATTGAGGAACATTGAAATGTACTTACAAGAGGAAGAGCAAAGAATGATAAGGCAAGATAAAGAGTGTAAGTAAGAGCTGTCTTGAAATCTCCCGTAAAAAAACCATTTTAGGATGCTTAATATAATCAATTGGACTAAGATCTTTAATTTATAAAATAATCTACTGTTATAAAACATGTTCATCCCATTTGTACGTATTAGGGACCAGACAGTTCTTATTTTTTCAAATTCCCGCACAAGCTTAACTAACCGCGGCTGAATGCAACTACATTAAACGTGACGTCATTTGGGTCAAAATAATACGACGACCTATACATAGAATGACGATAAGCCGACATATAGGCAACTGCTATCTGTTTCTGTTGATGTGGTTTGCTGATCCTTATATAATTACTGAGCCATAATATATTCACTAAAATACAGCGGACATCCACATTTGACATTGTGTGTTTTAATTATTAAAAAAAGTATTAGAATTATGAACGTTTATGTTGTAAAATTAAATATAAATCATTTTAGTTACGCAAACAAATTTTTTTTTTGATAAACTTTTTAATCTGCTCAACGTCCTATCATACTCTGTAAACTGTTTTCTAACTGGTATCCATTTGCCTATTACTGGAGTAAAAACTAGTGTGAACTCGCACAGATAAGAATCGTTGGCCCGTCTCTATCAACATAAAGGAATCATACCTTTGATCAATTGAACTATGACTACTATAATGTCCATCTTGATGACACGGAAGTTAAAATAAATAATTTTGAATTCAGGGTCAACAAGATCAAAACATGAGAATCTCAAGGAGATGGGTGACGTATCATCGGGCATGGCGTCGACGGTGATCCAGTTGTACCTAAAAGAAATCCTCGGCTCGTCCATACATCACAGTACGGTCGTGCGGTCCGCCGCCATGAAGGTTGTACAGCTCGTCTTGGCGCAGGGGCTCGTGCATCCTGTACAGGTAACGGACACTTCACATGCAAGAACTGTGATAAATTATTAACATATATTTTTGCACACATTTATAACACACTAGCAGCCCGCTCCGGCTCCGCTCGGGTCTTTATCAAAAATTAAAGATTAAACAAAAGAACACTTATTGCGGCATAATTATAATAGATAGACATATGCTGTCGCGACATTTTTTGTAAATAATAATGTATTCTACAAAGTCGTAGTACATTATTCTATCACCAATAGTTTTCGCAGGGCACGCGATGTAAATAATATTTTAGGTATTTTTTTTACACCTAGGGTTACATTATTGGAGTTTTAGTAAGGATCCCTAATTTTTTTCGAAAAATATTATAGCCTATGTCACTCGGGAATAATGTAGCTTCCAAACAGTGAAAGAATTTTTCAAATCGGTTCAGTAGTTTCGAAGCCTATTCAATACAAACAAACAAACAAATCTTTCCTCTTTATAATATTAGTATAGATATTATTGCAACTGCCTGTTGATCAGAAGGTATGTGGATAAGTCTATATGACCCGATCTCAACACCAGTGCATTAAAAGTTATTATCCCACTTTCTTTTCTAACCCAAACCTAATACAGCCCGATTCTTCTGGAATGATGTTATTACCTAATGTTGGCAGCTAATAAACATTAAAATGTCGACCACATTCCATGGGACAAAAAAAAACTATGTCAGTATGATCATGGTCAATTGAAATTTGTCTCAGAACAACGCTGTATCTATTCGATTACTAGTACATTATGTGGTCACATCATGGTCCAAAAATCACCGCCGTCCCTTTTTTCTATATTCAAAATTGAGTGTGAATATTTATGTCCCAAGAATATATCGACAACTCACTGGACAATCGCCATCGGCTTAAACTGGTGATTGGGCGTATTGTTAGCCCGCACTCATTTTGCTTTGATGAGTGAACGCGCTGACGGCTTCCGGTGTTATGTGGTTATCGTAGCCAACAGACATCAAACTGAAAACCGCCCTGAATGTTAGACATGAGGTCAAAGACCTAATTGTGTTTTATAACGGTGGTCCTACTATTCTAATGGCGGCTGTACTTACCCATGCGGGCTTATAATACGCCCTCCCACTAATGAATATTTATATAATAGTGATATAAGAAAAGTCTATTCAACGTGATTTTTATCTTAAGAGACTACGGTAATGTATTACGAATTTTCAGTCTTTAAATAAAAAATCTTTTTACAGATTGTACCATACTTAATAAGCATGAGCACGGACTTAGAGGTAACAGTGTCACACACAGCGGACAAAAATCTTCAGGAAATAGATAAAAAATATCCCGGTTTCATCCACATGAAAGCGCAACTAGGAATCAAACTATCATACCAGTTACAAAAAACTTTGCAGTCGAACAGCAGAGAAAAAAACGTCATAAGGGGATTTAGGTAATATTTATATTCTTTGACCATTTCAATGGTATTGATTGTATAAATGAATCATCTTATTCTCATCTCCAATCTAAAATATCCATACAAACAAATTAATAATGATTTCAATAACCACATTCATATTATAATTGTATCCACACAATTAAAATACTACTAAGAGTTCCAACTCTTAAGATTATGAAAAAACATATACAAGTATAAGGGCCGAGTCACACCGGAATGGCAGCGGCCTGCGGCGATGCTAGCGGCCCCCGGCGCGGCGTCGCCGCTGGCGGCCTCGCGCGGCCTCCAGACTGCCCGCGCCTAGTCTCCTCTTAACTAGTTTAGTTTCTTCATTCGGCAATGATACTCGTGTGTTTGGAGTGAACATGATGGAATTGGTTATTATATATGATCGCGGTGCCGCGAGTGGCCTTGCGACGCCGCTGGCAGCCGCGGGCAGAACTACCGACAAGACGCACGTGGCGCGCAGCTGCTCGCTTCACCGCGGACGGGCGGCGGCTGTGTCGCGACCTTTTCAGGCTTTTCAAGCGATACTGATCTTAAGTATATAGATAAAGTTTAAAATTATTTCACACTGAAAGTGCTTGCCGCGACACTGCCAGCCGCTGCCATTCCGGTGTGACTCGGCCCTTAGCTTTCGAATTTTCAGCAACCGTATAATTTACAATTATTGAATAGCCAATAAGCAATTTAAAGCTTAATTTATGCTTTTAATGATATTGTATTATATCGTGCTTTATATTTTAGGAAAAAAGAACTTGATGATCTACCCACTGCCCTTAACGGGTTTTTATATTCACTATTGAGGAACACAAGGCCGCAGAGACGAGCTTTAATTTTGTCATTACTAAAACAGTTTGACGATGTGTCGGTAAGTAAACGTACCTAAATGGAAACCACTTTCTATGTATATATTATTATGTAAACCGTATCTTAAGTGCCGATGATAAGAAATGTTGTAAATCCACACCAAATTCGTATATTGTGATGCCGTCATATGCCATAGTTGGGTTATAAGGTCGAGGTTGTATTGTATCGTAGTGAAATTTCAACCTTATAGACTCGAGTTGGGCGATACATCGTGATGTCTATGGGCTCTATCAACAGCTTAACCCCAATTGGACAGTGGATTATCACGAATGCAATATTATAAAATTTCAACTATAAGTATACAGTTTTAATTTTCTTTGTTTTGACAATTTCGTAAACCTTTTTCTTTTCTTTTCAGACTGCTCCATTAGATCAGATGCTGTACCTGGCCGATAATTTAAGTTACTTTCCATATNACATCGTGATGTCTATGGGCTCTATCAACAGCTTAACCCCAATTGGACAGTGGATTATCACGAATGCAATATTATAAAATTTCAACTATAAGTATACAGTTTTAATTTTCTTTGTTTTGACAATTTCGTAAACCTTTTTCTTTTCTTTTCAGACTGCTCCATTAGATCAGATGCTGTACCTGGCCGATAATTTAAGTTACTTTCCATATCAAGTACAAGATGAACCATTGTTCATAATACATCATATAGATATCATAATTTCAACGTCAGGGTCAAATTTATTACAGCTTTTTCGTGAGGTATGCACTGTTGAGTATTAATTTGTCGATAAACGTTATATACAAACACTAACTATTGCCATCTCGCTTTCTTTACCTATTTCATTATACTCTACATTAGCGAACCCGACAGGCTTTTTATAAAAGAATAATAAAAAAAACATTTTGCAGTGAATTGAATTGCGAATCTAAACAATTCTCGAATCCACTTGAACACATACAAAAAATTCTTAAAATCGATCTTTAGCTCTTTAGGAAGAGTTCAGTCACGTACACACGCACAGAAGAGTTATAAAGATAACTTAGACAAATAGATAAAATGTTTTTGATACCACTACGTTTATCATTATCTTCATAAGATCATCGTTATCTTTTTAAGAATATATTTTAAAAGTCATATTATCGTTGCAGGGCTTAATAAAATCCAATGCGGGAGAGAAAGGTACCGCGGAGGAAGAGGAGGAGGAGGAAGAAGAAGACGCAGAGGCGTTGGAGGCGCGGGTACCGGACAACACGCGCGCGCTGCGGGACGCCATGCGCCAGGCGCGCGGCTGTCTGCTGCTGCTCGTACTCAAGCAGCACCTCAAGCAACTCTACGGATTCACAGATGCGTTAGTATTTTCATCAAATCAAATCAAAATTTATTCAATTCAAATTCAATTCAAAATTATTTATTCAATATAAATGAAAAATGTTGAACGTCAAAAAGAACTACCTCCAATTCACAAAAACTAGCCTCCGTCCTGAGAAGAACTGGCAAGAAACTCAGCGGAATTTCTTTTTTTTTAAACATTAGATTTTCGACCTACCTACGAGCTGTATTTAAGCGCTTTCGGAACCAATACCCATTTACAATTACAATTGCAAGACGAATATAAGCCTCCATCTTGAGATGGAGCATCATCATATGCATATCATATTCAAGCATCATTTTTATTGAATAGCAGATCGGAAGCATGTTTGCTTCGCAGCAGAAATAGGTCGGATTGTCGGATGATTTTCAAGAAGTCGTTCATGTCATCGTCATCATCATCATCATCAGCCCACAGCTGTCTACTGCTGGACATAGGCCTCTCCCAACCTGTACCTTTTGACGAGATTTGGACCCCGATAATTAATGTCACTTGATACTAGTACATTTGGCTTTTTATCTACTTACTAGATTAGACTGCATAAATGTAATAAAACTTAAAATTCACAGTAAAATCAATCAATATTCTCCATCGGAGAGTGTGAAAGTATACGAGAAGGCGGTGTCCCGACGGCACGCGCCAATATTCGAGCCCAAGGCCACGATTTTGCAGCTGCAGGAAGACGAGTGCGAAGACGAACTCGACAGACGCGGCCGCCGTAGACTCATCAACGATTACCTCGAAGTGAGTACATCTCTTAGGAAACTCTTAAATTACATATCGACGCTTGAAATGCAAACGTGACTAAGCGACAATAACTGCTTTGTACATAAATGATAGGCAATAACCATATTCGATGCCCAAAAAATATATATTTCCAGGTCTATTAAAATAATTTCAATCCTACAGCTAGATTCGTTAAAATAGAAATTTTTTCTGTTATTTCAACTTTAAATTAGTCTACTGTAAAGTTCACGCATTGTCGCTTAGTCACGTTTGCCTTTCAAGCGTCGATATAGATCACTACATAGTATAAAACAAAGTCGCTTTCTCTGTCCCTATATCCCTATGTATGCGTAAATCTTTAAAACTACGCAACGGATTTTGATGCGGTTTTTTTTATATATAAGAGTGATTGAAGATGAAGGTTTATATGTATAATAACATCCATTAAATAGTGGCGAAATCAATAATAAATTACAGTTTCCGAAGCGAAGCGAGGGCGGGTCGCTAGTATACAATAACATTGATGAAGCTATCACAAAATTATTCATTATTGTTTGAACGTTAGTATGGCGTAGATTTGAGTTTAATTTAGAGATGATTCCTGATTGAAATGCAACGCAAGATTGTTATCAAAAATATTATCAACAATAACTTTTATTTAGGTAAAAAAAAGAGGAATCTTGACACATGAAACTTATAAATAACGAAATAGTGTTAAATATTTAAAGTAAAATTATGTAATATGGGTCTTCGGTCTTCTGTCGATCAATTTATTTGCACTCAAGCTGCATTATTATTGTTTATTATTATGAGTAAACATACCTGTTCGTTACACGAATGTTATCATAATGTGGGAATCGACTCTGCCAAACAGTGAAGGGCTCAAATTACTGCACCGCCGAATCGGTCAAAGTATAATATAATCTTAGTATGCCTTATTTTAACACAAGTCCCACAAGCGCATTTCGGTTTGTGCAGCTGTAGGAGCAATTGTTTTAACTTGTCTAATCTAAAGCAGGTAGGCATTGGCTTGGCTCTGCCCCTGGCATTGCTGAAGTCCATGGGCCACGGTAACCACTCACCATCAGGTGGGCCGTATGCTCGTCTGCCTACAAGGACAATAAAAAAAGTGGCTTTTTCTTGACTAATTATAGTGGAAGTGATTGATGACTGTTAACTTTCCATTTCAAACGAAGTATCTTCGTTTATTATTTCAAATAATCTAAATTTTAAGACAGATTTAGTTGTAAAAGTCAACTTTCACATAAAAATGTAGTAGTTTTACAATTTGGGTTGCTTTTCAATCTCTAATATCGGGAAATCACTGAAATACCCTATTAATATGTCAAACAGTATATTTGTACTTGTCTAATTACAGTCTTGAATAAACAAAATAAACCAATCTGTAATGCTACTTTTGGCGAAAATAAATGAACATACTAAATTGAAATGTACAATTTGTATTTACAGTTGAAGCAGCTAATGCTGAAGTTCGACCCAGAAGAGGAGGACGAAGAAGAGAGTGCGGCGGGCGGCGGTGCCCCTCCCCCTCCCCCTACCTAGCGTCCCCTTCCCTCTGCCCCTCCCGCGCCCCTAGACTGACCGCTCCGCCGACCGACCGCCGCGTTACTTCGATCGGTTTATTTATTAGCGCTCGAGAGCAGGACGAGAGCCGCCTTGTACAGTGTCCGGCGACTCCCGCCCCGCGCCCTCGATGCGCCCGCGACGATTACGACGTCTTTGTACAACTTATATTTGATAAACTCTTGTTTTTTTTTATTATTATTTTATTTTATTGAAAAGTCTTGTGTGTAGATAATTTTTTTATGGAGAATATAAAGTGTATGTATGTACCTACTCTGTTTTGCGTTTCCGTGTGCCGTGCCGGTGAACGGCCTAAATTGTCACCGGTGCGGCGGTCGGTGCGTCCGTGTGTCCGATCGACCGACATCTGTTAAGATTTTTACTTATAGTTTTTTTTTTTTGCATAAGAGAGAGGGTACCCGTTGCAATGATTTGCATTTCTTATAATGATAATTATAATATAAAAAAATATTGTAAATAAATCGATATAACATTAAAGTTACGAAGTTAGATTTTTAATAGATTTTTTTTTTATATATTTACAAACCCACACTCACAAAACAATATACGAATAATATAATTGATTACATTAATATCACGGCTTGCTCTTTATTTTTCGTTCGTCCGAAATAGCAAACTTGTTGCAGAGGAAGAAAATTAGTGTTTCAGGTGTGGGGTTCACTTTTCCTTCAGCGATGAGTCGCCGCAAGTTCCGTATGCGTTGCTTATGAGGGTACTCGCGAGACTTGGGCTGAGACTGTAACAAATACATGATATTAAAATTAAATACTAAGTTTCAGATCACAACACAATCAATCTCCTTAATGTCTATATTTGTTGTTGGCACTTGAAGAAAGTTTTCTTCTAAACAAGGAAAATAGGTGTACTACGCATTTATTTACTTGTGTTACTTATTACTTTACTTACTACTACCATAAATACATATTATTTATTTATGGTGGTGGTATTACCTCTTGTGAGTTCACACGGGTATGTACCACCACCCTGCCTATTTCTGCCGTGAAGCAGTAATGCGTTTCGGTCTGAAGGGTGGGGCAGCCGTTGTAACTATACTGAGACCTTAGAACTGATATCTCAAGGTGGGTGACCCATTTACGTCGTAGATGTCTATGGGCTCCAGTAACCACTTAACATCAGGTGGGCTGTGAGCTCGTCCACCCATCTAAGCAATAAAAAAATTTACTTACTTTATCTTTACCTTTTATTACATGATAAATATGAATGTAAGAATTTCTCACACTTTTTAGTTTGAATTTAAGAGTTGCAACTCTTTAGAAATATAATCCCAGAGGCTTTAACAAACGATATAAAAATCGCGTAACATTATGTTTTTAGGTCATTGAAATCGATATTATCGCTATATACCTATTGGTAATACTCACACGCCTCTCGACATGTGTTAATGGTGCTATGACATGACTATGATCTTTTCTAAAGTGCCAAAGAAAATTACAAAGTTTACAATTTAATTGTGTATAAAATTCCAGAGCGCGTAGAGCAAGGTTTATCGGCGTAGTACACCAATATTTGGTCAAAACTCTTGACTTAATGACCTTTCCCTACAAATCTGTACCCTGGCTGCTTTACAATATAAATAAAATGGACGCATAAGCAATTAATTAAAGCCATTATATAAAACATCTTAAAATCATCATCCTTCAAGTGATTAAAAGCATTCTTGTTGTGAATAATTTGCCTCAGCGTTCATGCTAACAATCGAGCGGAACAAACGCTATGTCAATTTGGGTACCGTATTCAGTTAAAATGACTGACAGAACTATCCTGATGTCGTTAGTTACGATCACTAACAATACATGTATAGCAATACACTTATCTGTAGGCCGTTAGCTCATCCATCCGCCCGCGCGTAGCTGGAATAGCCCTTTAGGCAACCAGCGAATAGGAAAAAAAGGACTTTCAAACAACACTTTTTAAAATACAGTATGCTTAGTGCGAGTTTTTTAACGTTCTCGATAGCGTACGAGTTAGCCCAATTTTTTATGCAGTTGGAACAGCGCTGCCCCTAGCGGCAAACGTAGGCAAACGATCCCATTCCATACAAATATGAGCTAACTTTTACGCTATCGAAAACGTTAAAAAACTCGCAACTGCAAAATTTCGCTTGCGAAATTAAATAGCGCTATACAAAATAATTGAATACCATAATTTTACGTTGTTTACATTTATTTAATAATGTGTGATTGAATTGTAGTCAGGTAGTGTGTTGTGTGCTATATTTCTTCGTCATGGATCCAACATTTACTAAGGTAAATTATTTACACAGAATTTTAGAAATTCCCTAAGCACACTGCTAGATACAATCCAATACAAAACTTACCTCGTCGTTTACCGGGACGTCTGGTGGTGGTATACCGATAATAGAGCTGTCCCACATGACAGGATGCCAGGGCCGACGAACCGCTCGTTCCGGAGGCAGCTGCGGTTGCGGCGGCTTGAGCGGCAGCGAACGTACGTCCACATAGACATCATCGTAGTCCATATCACGTTGCATATTTTGTTAGGACTGAAAAATTAATATTAAGTATGATGCCATTCTATTTATAAAATTTCTTATCATCTCAAGATCCATTGATGATATTAACCGAATGCATAATATATAATTTACCCAGGTATGCCATAAATATTTTTAAAAACAATGAAATGCAACATTTACTACTGCAACGAGCCTATGCAAGTGTAGTGTTCGCCCACGCGGCCCGCGCTAATTTGAAACCCCTTCAAGTCATTCAATCCCGTTTTTATAAGATAGCCGTCGGAGCACCGTGGTTCATAAGGAATGTGGATCTCCATGATGACCTGGAGCTTGACTCAATCAGTAAGTATATACAGTGGGCATAAATACGCCACTTTGAGAACGCGGCACGACACAAAAACTCTCTTGTCGTGGCTGCCGAAAATTACACACTCGATCCTATGGACCGAATGGCGAACCGTCGACGTCGCCCTAAACACGTCATTACGGTTCCTCCCGATCTATTAACAGTGCTTTTAGGTGCCTCAAGCACCCGTCACCGTCCTCGCCGAAGGGCTCGGCGAGTAAATTAACCCATAGACACAGCCCACTGAGTTTCTCGTCGGATCTTTTCAGTGGGTCGCGTTTCCGATCTGGTGGTAGATTCTGCGAAGCACTACTCTTGCTAGGGCTAGTTTAACAACACCTCTGATTTGAGCCTCAAATTTTTATTTTATTTTAAAGGGTATTCGATGACATTATGTATGGAATATAATTTCAGCCAAAATTGCATTTGGGTTCATACTTACAAATTTCACATCCATTCATTGATGTTATTAATTAAATATCAATGCATCTATTGTTCTCTTTTCTATTTACGTTAAAAGTTGGGCCAGAAGACCGATCACATGACATTTAGCTGACGGTCTGGTTATTTGTCAGCATAATATAAGGTACTGTACCGAGGAACTCGACCAACTCAAGCTACTAAAACTATTTTACTATCATTGGTTCGTAGGTGGTGTTTAATTTTATTTTCTTAATAAAGTGTCCCTTAACTGTATATCCAAATTTAATTTTTAACACTTGGAATTACCTTTCTTTTTTGGGCCGTTACACGAATTCCGGGCCTCTTATGTGGTCCCCACAAAGATTGCAGCGGATACCAATTAAACGACTCCCCTGCACTCTCACCCAAAAGTTGGACTCCCGCCGAGACTGAATACGGTAGAGGTAGTGGTTTCACTGGCGGCGGAACGGGTGAGGGAGAGCTCGTCTTCTCTCCCGGCGCCGTGCCGCCGCCACAACCCATCGGTTGGACATCCTCGGGCAGACGTTACGAGTCTGGTTCTAGTGTTGACCGCGGGAACCCTCCTAATTTGCCCGGGTCCTGACCCCGGGTGGACATCTTACGTTAGGTTAGAGAGTAATTGTGGAGTCATTCGATGGTAGGGCCCTAACAACATCATTGGGTCCGCGATCTGCTCCCAACATGTGCAGATTGTCAAGTGGCACTTACCCCACGTGACACCTCATATGAAGGTCACTCGGCCACTTGCGTGAACCCAAACCCCTTGTCGCCTTGCTCTAACCAGATTCGCAGCTCACACTAAAGACCCAGCCGGCAAAGCCTTCGAGGCAAATCGACCACTATACTTGTACATCGGCCCTTTCGATACGATGGCCCGTCCACGTGTTTTTCTTTTCCTGCCTAACTCACGTTGGATCATCTATGGTATCCGTAATCAATTCAGAACAAATTGTTCTGAGGTAATCAATATACATTAAATGATGATAGTAATGATGATATTAAAATTAAACTGATTTAAATTCAAAAACATGAATAATTAAAATAATTTAAGATAAAGCTGCCGAAGTAAAACCGTTTCACGCCTGCAAGCCTTTCGCAGAAACGATGTAGGAGTATCGAAAATAACACGACGAAAATAACAACGTGCAATCATCGGAGCAAACCTCTGTTGAAAATCACTGCGCAATAAAGTAGCCCCGTTTTTTATCCAATCGTTATTTGGCAAAGAGACAAGAAATCATTTTTTCTACGCCGTCTATCGTCTGTTACCGATTGCCGTTACCCATTATCTTCGTTACTTAACAATTACAATGATATACACTAATCACTAGTTTAATACGTATTCAAATTGGATTTGGATCAAATTCGATTACCTACTAGATGACTTTTCTATACTGATAGGTCGTGTTGGTAGCTCGCATACGTTGATACTAACATCTTATCTATTTCTAATTAATCATATATTTCATTTGATAAATAGGGTAGTCGTTATTTAATACAATAGAGGTTTAGTCTCATTTCTCAAATAGATAGCGTCATTCAACGGCATTGACTCCAGTGACTGCTTGTTGTAGAATCAGATGGGCTCCGTAGCTGACTGCTTTTATTTATTGCTTAGATGAATGAACGAACTCACCGCCCACCTGGGGTTAAGTGTTTACCGGAGCCTATAAACATCATGAACAATTTGAAAGCCGTAACTCCACACCCTCTGAGACATGAGGTCGTAGTTTTAGTTGTACTATATAAAGACTGTGAAGCTCTTCAAGCCGGAACGCATTACTGCTTTGCGGCAGAAATAAGCAGACTGCTGGTACCTACCTATTTTAATTGACACTCCTCATTTTTTTACTTTACATTTCTCCCACTAAGTATCGACACTCTCGTCGGTTTCTGAATAAAGACTTTTCAATATAATAAATGAGTCGTCTATTATCAAAGGCGGCAATCTGTACATTTGGACAAAAAAAATTTATTGATATGTCAATACAGATTTATTTGAATATAATCTTCTCCTTCAAAGAATACGGTTCAAAACCTGCATTAAATAAAGGTTAATAGTTAACCTGTTATTTATCTAAGATGTCGTTCCGAAGAGTTTTGTGACTGCCAATGTAATACAAAGTCAATAATTCGTTTTTCTGATTTACCAATCATTGTCCAAAAGTCAGATTGCCGCCTTTGATAATAGTCGACTCAAATATTGTATTTGATGTTCATACAAATATGCAGACAGGCTTCATTAATTATAACATATACACCTCAAAGGTAACATTAATACGACTAACGTATTGATAGGAGGACGAATTGAGAACCTGCACGGGTTCGTACCTCCGTTGTCTATTTCAGCCCTCACAGTTTAACCCAAATGGTTTGACGTGTAAGAATAATGGTTACATTGTAATAAAATGAACATTTCGACACAGCTCCAAGTGTAGAGCTTCCATTAGTCTCCGGCAGGTAACGGCTGAACAGCTGGTATATCTGGAGCTTATTTAACCATCTCTGATAATTGAAAACTCAAATAAACTTAACTATTAAGATTATCAACTACGTTATATTATAAAGGAGGCAGTCGATATTTTAGTACCTACCCATACTAAGAAAAAGAAAATATTACTAAGTATACTCAACGAATTAAATAAAATAAAACTAATGCAAGCCTGATTCGCTTTCCATCAATAGGCTGCGTAATAAATGTGTACTACATAAAAACATCATTTTAACTATGTTATTGACAATGGTCGGACACGCTTTAATGGTTTGACAAATAGCATTAGGTCGGACCTAACAAGATCTCAAAAATAACGATCAAATGGATCAACATTTTTCAAATTCTTATGACTGTATACAGTACAAATATGTATCTACTTTCCTATCCTATCCTATACTCATATACTTACGTTTTATATAAACAATGAAGTAATGAGTTCGCGTAGTAGTTGATCACTTTGTTAACAGGATAAAAATAATTAAATTATATCTACTAGAATAGATTACCACTAAACGTATGTACTCACTTTTTTAAACTATGTCAAATTTTCACTTAGAGACGGGACCACACTGTTAGTTGTAGACGTCGTATGGTATACTATTTTTATTAAGAGAACAGTGAACTAACTACTGCATCGGCTGTAGATGTACGACTAAAATTAATTATTGTCTTCCGACTCTGGTAGGCTACGAGAGAGCGCAAAACTGTTCCTTCATGACGTATGTTCGACAATTACGTATAAAAATAGGTATCAAACAGTATTGACATCTAGGACGCTGACCGAGCTATAAGCCAACTATTGAAAAGTGTTTAAAAACAAACAATCGATCAAAACGTTTTGTTCAGATCGGTTACAAATAAAGTATAAAAACAAAAAGTAATCTCAGAATAGTCTTAGGATATTTTAATTGAAATAACGGGATCTTAAAACTTTCTCTTTCATGATATTGCAGACGTAAATTGACCGTGATAGCTGCGACGAAAACCAGCGATGTCGTAATTTAGAAGCCATGATAAAAACGCGCCATTATACAATAACAACATTTTATTCCCGATTAACATAAAACTAGTTAACAACATAGCATAAAGTGTACAGTCCCAATAAAAAATTAAACTAATAAAATATTTGATACTTTCTTTGCTGTAGCTATTTGTAATTGTATATAAACAGTATACAATAAAAGCTTTCTTGTTTGTCAACTTAGTCGTCGACCAACTGAAATCTTATGATTCCGTAACAAATATCTTTACCCGTTGCCTCCAATTCAGGCTTTATTTTAGTCGCGACCAGTCAGACACGCTCTAAAAACTATTAATTATGTGGGCGAATAAAACTTAACAAAAATAACATTAGTTTCATATTTTACGCTCCTGCAACAATTTCGTCAAAAGATGCTTCATGTTCTGACCTTGTCAACATAAATTCAGGTAAAGTGACGCCTAGTGTAGCACTATATCTTGGCAAAGTTTCGGACCAAAATGCACCCTTTGAGTCAACGCCGGCAAATTCTTCAGGAGCCGCTACATTTGTAAGATCAACAATAGTCGCTTTAGATTCAGCTACGGCCTCAATGCTGCGTTTTGACTTTTTCGTATTTGGAGACTGTATTGCAGTTCCTACAGCAGGAACTGTTACTTGAGCAGGATTTGCTGCAGCTGGGACTATCGCTTGAGGAGCCTTCTTACGTTTTAATTTTTTACCATAATTATTATTTTCAACAACGTAAGCAGCTAATTTTTGTACAGCGGGGGCACTAGTGGTAATTGTTTGACTTTCGGCGCCTTCTTGTCCTTTTTCTATCGTAGCAGGCTTGGAAGTGAATTCCTTTACTTCCTGGTATGCTAAATGACTCCTCTTAGGAGCAGATTCTGACACAAACATACACTCTTCATTCTTAAGTCCTGACTTATCTATGCATTGGAAACAAGTCATGCCATTCTTCTGCACCCTCTTACACGAAGATCGATCTTTTTTCTTAAACTCGGCTAGAACATGCTCTACATCTTTTTTTGGTTCATTTTCGGTATAAAAACCTGGCAATGCTTTTTTATAGTCATAGGGTTTAGCTACAGACTCAGTTTCTTCTTTTGATGAACTATCATCGTCAGCAGCTCTCAGGGCCTCGTTTGGTCTTGGTTTGGAATTATGGACGTAATAAGACTTGTATTTTTCGCCAGAATTATCGTCATCTTTGTTTTGCGATTTATAGTCGCTGTACGGTTTCTCAGGTTGTGATGCCGTTAATTTTGCATACTTTTGGGTTTCTTTTTTGTCAGCATCCTGATATTTAGCAGACTTTTTGGGTTGTTCAACTTTTTCATCACTTTCTGGTTCATCGGGTTCGTCGTTACTATCAAACTTTCTCTCTTTTGAATACGCATATTTATTATTTTTTGGTTCTGCGACATATGAACAGGATTCATAATTTCCACCTGTTTTTGGGTCTTTACAAGACATGCAAGACATACCATCTTTTTTAACTTCTTGACAATTTTCTGGGTTTTGTTTTATTTCAGCGGCTTGTTTCTCTGATAAAGCTTTTATGCGCTCGTATTCTTTATGGTCATACCCAGAGTCATATCCGTAAGGGTATTCGTAGTCTTTCTTTGGGTTTTTCTCTTCTTTATATGCACTGCTATACAGGTCACTATCGAAAGCTTTAGGTTTGGAATTATATTCAACTTTATAACTATATGGATCTTCCTCTTCCTCGCTATTTTTTCTTAAATTTTCTCTTTGTCTCCCACTTGTATATCGTCGAATACGTGCTGGTCCTGTAATATAAGCATTAGGCTTGTAGTTTTGTTCAAGATCGGTATCATCATCAACTTCTTCTTTACGGTATTTTATCGGATGTGAAACTTCAACATTCGTTGTGGCTGGTTGAAAATAAGCAGCTACGGAAGGGTTTTTTTTTAGTGCCGCTAAAATTTCTTCTCCTTGTTCATTTTCCTCTGGTTTATATACTTTGTAGTCAGCATCGTGTACAGTGCGTATGTCATATCTTAAAGAACCTAATTGTTGTCCAATAGGTACCGCCGGTGCTCGGTGCTGCGGTGGTTGTGCAACTAATTTAGCGGATCTCGCTGGTGAAAAAAAGCTTTGACTGGCAATTGGATTAAAGCCAAAATGTTGGGCTGAAAATGCATTTTCTCCTGGTGCTAATCGAGTTTGCAAAGAATCAATAGAACTACTGACAACAGTGTCAAATAACTGAGGATATTGACTCTTATCTACTTTAAGCACCGCTGCTGCTAAAGGGTTCGAAGCCAAGGAAGTTATGCCTGAAAAGTTAAACATTCAGTTTAGGCAACTAATAGTACTAATACAAAGCATTGCAGAAGCATAAACTTGTGAAATTTAATTACATGTTTTAAAGGAAACCACTAACCACCATCTGCAGAATCAAATATTGCTCCAAAGTCCAATGGTTGCACAAATCCATTTTTTTCTTCGCTGGCAAAAATACCTTCAAATATCGTCCAAATGAATAACTGCAAAAAGCCGAAAATTGTTAGAGATATTGATTAAAATTAAAGCAAAAAAAATATAGTGAGGATATCCTACCAATTGACTTAATATAATCATTTTTTTAGAGTGGGTATGAACCCAATGACGATTACTAGATTTTCGCTACTCCTGACCGAGCAGAGTTGTACTCTTAGTTTGCGGCGGGATGAAAGTAACGTCATATTATTGAAATGACAAGGTTTTATAGGCGTCAATATTGCGAAGGTGAAAGATCGACGCAACAGAGCGCGCGCACCACTCAAGCGTGTCTCACCGGACAATGTCCGCTTACTCCACCCGGCTCTCGACCGTTGGGGTCACCGGCTGCAGCAATCGACATGCTGCCTTTATTGTTGCAGCCTCAGTTTCTCCCGTTCGACTTTTGGGATTTAACACTGAATTTTTTTATCCTGTATTTTTTTTTNTATTGCGAAGGTGAAAGATCGACGCAACAGAGCGCGCGCACCACTCAAGCGTGTCTCACCGGACAATGTCCGCTTACTCCACCCGGCTCTCGACCGTTGGGGTCACCGGCTGCAGCAATCGACATGCTGCCTTTATTGTTGCAGCCTCAGTTTCTCCCGTTCGACTTTTGGGATTTAACACTGAATTTTTTTATCCTGTATTTTTTTTTGGTTGATTTGGGAAACAAGCTCAGATTAACTGGAGGCTAATCGATTACCAAATCCCATAGGCACCGTGAACAACAGGAGCTACGCACCTCTAAGCTTATTAATTACTTTGATATAACGTATTGTTGCGTTTTTAGTTACACGTTCTATATTCAAACCGGAATATAGGATGCTTTTCGGCAGAAATAAACGGAATGGTGATTCCTGGTCATGCGGACCTGCAACACTTTAACACCAGTACGTACTAAAAAAGCGTTACGCAATAAAACCTTATTTGATGGCTTAAACATTTTATTTTTGATAATACAAATGGCATGACTCTTATTCTAAAGGCAGTTTAAAACAAACACAATATATTATAAATAACTATTGCAACAAAACTGTTTTATGTAGAAATTATGTTTTGTTATTTAAATTATGTTTTGATCAGAAAAATTCTTTATTAACATGTTGTTTACATTAATGAGACATGTCTATGTATATATATCTCATTATTTTTTATTTTATTATTTATGATTTTCATATAAGGTACAAATTCTTCGGAAATAAAATGTTGAAATTTAATCAAACTTATAATAACAATAGTCTAATCAGATTTCGTGTATTTTGAATAGTAAACAGATTGTAGGAATGTTTAGATGTATATCATATCTTCATGTAGTCATTAGGATAATCTGTTTCAGGTTTGAACACCTTGTTCTAACTTCTCGAGCAGCTGTCGACTTGCGAGATCTTCAGAGGTGCGTAGCGCGGAAAGAATGCTTTTCTGAAACAAAATATGCAATTTTAAACTACTGCCTATCTACGCTTGAAAGGCAAACGTGACTAAGCAACAATACGTGAACTTTACAGTAGACTAATTTAAAGTTGAAATATCTGAAAAAAAAATTTTTTTAACGAATATAGCTGTAGCATTGGAATGATTTTAATAGACCTAGAAATATTATTTTTTTTGCGCATCGAATATGGTTATTGCCTATCATTTATGTACAAAGCAGTTATTGTCGCTTAGTCACGTTTGTCTTTCAAGCGTCGATATACATAATAAATTCGAACACACATTAAATTCACATCGGATGCTTTTATACGAGCTGCTGAACGAACCCAATTCAAATTTAGGTAGATATTGCGACCTGAATACCGAGAGTTTAATGACATTTTGTTGGAGGTCAAACATTTTGAAATAACAAGAACTTCAATTGTTTGAGTTTGATTTTCCGCTTCAGATCAGTAATTAAACGATTCAGAAGCACATTTTTTATTTGATTTGATCCAAAACTTTCTATTACCATTATATTATATATTTGACCATCGCTTTAAAAGATACTTTTGTCATGAATAAGTAGTTGGCGACTGTGATCACATGTTCCTCTGCCAAAATAAAATTATCTCAAATAAACTATTTTTCTCATGTTTTATACCAGCCTTTCCCAAATTCGTCGTGGCCTTAAGGATAAGACGTCCGGTGCATTCGTTGTTGCGATGCACCGGTGTTCGAATCCCGCGGGCGGGTACCAATTTTTCGAATGAAATACGTACTTAACAAATGTTCACGATTGACTTCCACGGTGAAGGAATAACATCGTGTAATAAAAATCAAACCCGCAAAATTATAATTTGCGTAACCACTGGTGGTAGGACCTNGGCCTTAAGGATAAGACGTCCGGTGCATTCGTTGTTGCGATGCACCGGTGTTCGAATCCCGCGGGCGGGTACCAATTTTTCGAATGAAATACGTACTTAACAAATGTTCACGATTGACTTCCACGGTGAAGGAATAACATCGTGTAATAAAAATCAAACCCGCAAAATTATAATTTGCGTAACCACTGGTGGTAGGACCTCTTGTGAGTCCGCGCGGGTGGATACTACCACCCTGCTTATTTTCTGCCGTGAAGCAATAATGCGTTTCCGTTTGAAGGGTGGGGCAGCCGTTGTAACTTACTTGAGACCTTAGAACTTATATCTCAAGGTGAGTGGCGCATTTACGCTGTGGATGTCTATGGGTTCCAGTAACCACTTAACACCAAGTGGGCTGTGAGCTCGTCCACCCATCTAAGCAATAAAAAATAAATAAAAAAAAAATAAAAATTGGGCGATAACGCTCCCTTGTGGGCGGTAAGACACCTAGAAAAAAAATTAGGGGCGTTCTGTTTAGAGGCTTGGGAGGCGATTTGTGATATCATTTAGGAGGACTCTTAAACACCGAATGAGCTATAGTGGTTTTTAAGTAGATTAAAAAAAAGGCGCGCTAAAATATAATTTATTCTCAAAGTGGGCAGTAGACACAATAAGTTTGGGACCCCTGTTTTATACCTATAAGTATATTATATATGGTTACGATTTAGTATCGATACGTTATAGTCGAGTAATATCGAAAACGACATAAAAGTTGTGATTGTAATGTTCGTGAATGAAAAAAACAAAACTCACTGCGAGTTTATTATTGGGATCTTGTATTTTCTTTGAAAGCATCCACAAGTTGGCCGCTAAAGTGAGCATGGAATGTTGTTCTAAATCGGCGCGTCTTATCACGCGCCAGAATAATTCCAACGTCAAATTGTACTGTTTCTTGGTCTCTTTGTTGTCGCCGAGCGCTTTCAGTACCACGAGCAACTCCTGGCATATGTCCGTCGCATACCCGTCTAAGACCGAAACGAATTCCTCGTCGCAACCATACAGCTTGTCGTTTGATAGAACTGCAATCAAATAGACAAAAGGAGACATAACTTCGAATCCATCACTGAATGAATGATTTTGGCAACGTATTTTTAGCTCAAGAAGCGCCTTCAAGCGAACAACACGTCTGCTCGGCCGTGAACCGCTTACGTCACTATGTTAATGCGCGAACAACGAAAATTCAATTTTTTTATTTCATACTAGCTGACCCGGCAGACTCCGTAGTGCCTCAGTCGATAAATAAAAGAACTAAACTTTTGTATAAAATAAACTTAAAAAAAAACAAAAGGAATCCGTCCTACGGGGGACACATCAAAGGAAAAACAAAATTGTTATTTTTATTTAATTCCGAGCATTTTCATATTTATCTACCTTTTAAACCTTCTCTGGACTTTCACAAATAATTCAAGACCAAAATTAGCCAAATCGGTCCAGCCGTTCTCGAGTTTTAGCGAGACTAACGAACAGCAATTCATTTTTATATATAGAGATTAAACGTAAGAAATTGAAATTCATTTAATTCGAAATACACTATCGACTCACGATACATACGTCTGCAGAAGTAATCATTATTATTATTACACAATCTAGTCATCATCTTTTTTCGTTACCAAAGTGTCGCTGAAAACGTGACTCTAGAGATAAGCATTTTTAAATTTGATTTTTTATTGCCCTTATAGGCCAACTAGCATATGATGAGCCGTATGCTCGTCGGTCGCTCTGGACGCCAGCAATTCCAGGGGCAGAGTCAAGCCGCTGCCTACCGTTTAATACTCTCCACGAGCCTCCTACTTAATATTAGGCCAGGATCACTCCAATGCCACTCTAATGCCTATTTCTGCCGTGAAGCAGTAATGCGTTTCGGTTTGAAGGGTGGGACAGCCGTTGTAACTATACTTAAGACCTTAACCTTACCTTACCTTAACTTATATCTCAAGGTGTGTGGCGCATTTACGTTGTAGATATCTATTGGCTCCATTAACCACTTAACACCAGGTGGGCGGTGAGTTCGTCCACCCTTCTAAGCAATAAAATAATAATAATTTCAATTCAAATTAAGATAGGTTAATGACACGGACGGCATCTGAATATTCGTGAAGAAAAAAAAGGCACAAACCGGAATCGATGTGATGTGCGTAATCCTCCTGCGCCATTTCGCTGAGCAGATCTAGAATGTTCAAAAGCGTGTTGTAGTAGCGCGGGTCCGTTTTACGCCAGTGCACCCTCTCCATTGTCTTGATCAGTCCGCTCAGTATGTACGCTTTGCAGTTGCTGTCCACGTTGTCCTACAACAACAAAAATTAAGTATTTTCGCGATATATACTATATTTTTGCCAATTCCCGATTCGATTTGCGTATTCCCGAGCAGTTATGCTTATCTAATATATAAAATTCTCGTGTCACAATGTTCGTTCCCATACTCCTCCGAAACCGCTTGACCGATTCTCATGAAATTTTTTATGCATATTCAGTAAGCCTGAGAATCGGCTACTATCTATTTTTCATACCCCTAAGTGATTAGGGTTGTCCACCCCTAACATATTTTTTTTATTTGGACATATTTTTTTTGCTATAATGAGGTATTATGTGGTTTAATGAGGTTTTGTTATTTTTATTATATATTCCCTCATCGTTCACAGCGCTATATGCCTCTTTCACTCATTTACCACATACTTACAAACTTACAATAAGTTAGTTTTTTTTTTCTACACTAGAAATTCCCCAGAAATCTTATATATGGGAAAACAATGTTTGCCGGGTCAGCTAGTTGCAATATAAAAATGTACAATGAATTTTAAGTTCGTAATGATGTAAGAAGTTTTATTCGCTACAGAGTGCGCGTGTACGCCGTGGTTTATATAACAAAAGATTTGGTGGACACCTGGTGTTAAGTGGTTACCGGAGCCCATAAGCATATATGACGTAAATGCACCACCCACCTTGACATACCTTGAGTTCTAAGGTCTCAGTAGTTGTAGTTACAACGGCTGCCCCACCCTTCAAACCGAAATGCATTACTGCTTCACGGAAGAAATAAACTGGATGGTGGTACCTACCCGTGCGGATTCACAAGAGGTCCTACCACAAATAATTACGCAAACTATAATTTTGCGGGTTTGATTTTTATTACACGATGTTATTCTTTCACCGTAGAAGTCAATCGTGAACATTTGTAAAGTACGTATTTAATTAGAAAAATTGGTACCCGCCTGCGGGATTCGAACACCGGTGCATCGCTATATACGAATGCACCGGACGTCTTATCCTTTAGGCTACAGCGCCTTTTATTATACATAATAATACGTTTCGACAAAGAGTTCTATTATCTAAACTATTTATATCGATTACTATTTTCTGATTAAAACATGCGTTGCGGGCCGATGTCTAGTAAACCCTGGCAAATATTTTTACAGGCATTTTTGTCTCTCACCGGCAAAACAAGAAGTGTGGATAAGAAATCGCGCAATATTCCTTCTACTTTGACATTGGTTGATTTTTTTTGTCCATCTTCTAGAATGTACTCCGGAATACCTGGTATCAAGCCTATGAGGGCTTTAAAATTTGCTTCCGCTAAAACATATTTGAAATTTTACTGTTAACTATTCCCTTATATCATAAAACAGTGTAATAACAAACAATTTAGTATAACATAATTTCAATTTCAGACCACAGACTAACAATAAACAAAAGAGTATATGTATATAAATGCGTGTGAGTGTCAAATACATGGTAGTGTGCGTAATATTTTTTTATATTGATTTAATGTATTTTTTTATGCGTGATTAAAAAAATATTAATATTTTGAACTCCTCTACATTCTCTATATAAGTGGGAAACTTCATACTCCTCCGTCTGCGCAATTTTCGTAAAATTTTTGCTTCACGTATTAATATAGGTAATATAGATTGTTTAGGGCAATCCTAAACATAAATTTTTAAATGTGGGAGAACACACTAATATGTATGGCAACACAGTTAGTTGCCACTGCACAAAAAATTCTAGTCGTACGTGCACGTGTTGCACATCAAGAAACATAAATCCTTCGCTCTAAATCTAGTTTTTACACACAGCACACAAAAATACGCTCTCACGCTCCACGCTCTAAAGTCTAAACATAGATGAATACCTTGTCCAATGCAGTTGTTGAGCAAGGCGACTTGTCCAGAGAGCAGGTACAGCTGTGCCTTAGTGATGGTGCAGTGCAGAGAAGGGACCGTGATGTAGCAATAGGCCGCACACGCCCTCTGCAGCCATTTGTTCCGTGCGTCGCCGGCACGTATCGCTAAACCATTTACCTTCTGCAACCATTCACGAAACACGTACTTCTCTTAAAACAGTTTTATTATCTAAACCAATTCCAATGGACAAATATAATTTATATAATGCGTAAATTAATGCAGTAGTTGTCACCTAGAGACATTAGACAAACGAAACTAAAGCAACCATTGTTCTCCAAATCATTGAAATCGGAATAACATCGTGTAATAAAAATCAAATCAAGTCTAATAGATTTTCACGGTGGCATGCCCGACTAATGTCAACCGTCCCATCCTTTATATTTATTATTATTTATTGTTTTGGAGTTTTTGTTAAGAGGTCACATAATGCAGGGAGAAACAAAATTGATTTATTCATAAGATATTTATAAACATTCATTCTTATACTTATTCTTATACTTTTTTACAGGTATATATAGTATATATTAGGATATATTACGAATATTATGTACAGCTGTTTCTTGTGATTTATTTTTTATAAACAATTACTCGGACGGACGTACTGGCACCTGTTTATTTTATTTATCAAGATGATTTTTGTTGGTGGTAGGACCTCTTGTGAGTCCGCACGGGTAGTAGTTACCACCACCCCGCCTATTTCTGTCGTGAAGCACTAATACGTTTCGATTTGAAGCGCAGAGCAGCCGTTGTAACTATACTGAGACCTTAGAACTTATATCTCAAGGTGGGTGGCGCATTTACGTTGTAGATGTCTATGGGCTTCAGTAACCACTTAACACCAGGTGGGCTGTGAGCTCGTCCACCCATGTCAGGAATAATAAAAAAAAACAACCACGAGGTCACTGACCTGCACTAGAGCAACGAGTACAGCGTCGAGTTTAATGAAGGAGGACCTACATTCCACGTAGAAGTTCAACTGCTGCTCGAAGTCCTCATGAAACGTGCCCGCGTGGACGAACTTGTTTATGAGTTCGCTGCACACTTTTGTTTCGTCATCTACCGTTATAGCACTATAAAAATGATAAAAACAAATTTAAAAAAAAATCTAGTTCATCGAGTTCATTATTTAAGAAAATTTATGTCATATTAATAAGAAGATATACAATATAATATACATATTTTATTATAAAATGTGAAAGATTTATACGTGTTGAAAGGAAACCAGAGTCACCGTCGACGCCCTAGACACGTCCTTACGGATCCAATAGCCTTTGCATTAGACGCCTTCAGCTCTAACACTAGGAGCAGGTTTAGGGACCTCGGTAACCGTACTGGTCGAACTCGACAACAAGTTCGACGTGCAACCTAACGCATACACCAGTCCGCAGTTCCGGTAGTAGATTCATTCACGAAGCAACTGCTCTTGAAAACTGCTCTAAAAAAAAATTGTCTCCTTCGGAGGCGCTCGGGCAGCTGTAGCAAATCCCACCCCTCCTGGCTGAGCCTTTGCTCGCCCACCTATCCTGGTGAAACTGGAAAGGCCTCAAGGCCACCAGTAATCCTTCAATCATAAAAAAAAGAAATGGTATAAAATTTATCATTGGAGGGATACATAAAGGTGTAACTTGAATTATTTTTCAGAATATTCACGACGTAATCACGCAGTTTGTGCAGGATAGACATGATTTATTATTGATACTGAAATTATTTGCGAGTCGTTTTTCTACTGCGAAAACGTCCGTCGTCTTTTTTGCCACGTACCATCCGGCTATGGAATGAGCTCCCCTCCACGATGTTTCCCGAGCGCTATGACATGTCCTACTTCAAACGTGGCTTGTGGTGAGTATTAAGCGGTAGGCATCGGCTTGGCTCTGCCCCTGGCATTGCTGAAGTCCATGGGCGACGGTACCCACTAACCATCAGGTGGGCCGTATACTCGTCTGCCTTCAAGGGCAATAAAAAAAAAACATTAAAAACAAAAGAAGGCAAAGTTAGACAATCCAGGCGCTTAGTAAAAGAAATCAACATAATTACTTCAGTGCGCCACATAGGACACTGGTGACCTACATGGCAGCCAATCTGTTAATATACAGGATAGTGGTACTTGTCTGTATAGGCTTATTAAGTACATAACATAAAAAACACAAAGAAAAAAAACTTATATAACCAAAACGTTAAAAATCATCAATTAAAAGTTACAACATCAATTAAATAAATGTATGCTCACTTTATGGAATCGTGGAGGGTGCAGCAGAGGCACATCAGTGAGGTTATAACAATATGGTCGTCGATGTGAAGAGAGTTATACCGCGTAAAGAACGTTGACAACACCGTTTTCGCCATTAAGGTACGTGCGTTCGTCGTCTGTACCAATTCTATGAGCGGCATAAACGCATCCTGTTATCAGACGAAATCGATTTCAATTTTTTAAATAACTAAATTGATCTATGTAATTATTTTAAATTGACATGTCTCACGGTGCCGGAATCTATATAAAAATGACAATTTTGTTTTTCCTTTAATGTGTCCCCCGTCGGATAGATTCCTTTTGTTTGTTTAAAGTTTATTTTATACAAAAGTTTAGGTCTTTTATTTATCGATTGAGACATTACGAAGTCTGCCGGGTCAGCTAGTTATTGATATACCTAGTCAGGTCATAAATTCTGTCACATGTTTAATGTAAAATAATTGAAACAAGTTTATTCATTATGTAACCATTCATATACCAAAATGAACTTAATAAAACATGGATTCTTATGACACTAAAGTTTATTCAAAATGACCTCCGTGATTTTGAATATAGGCCTTCAATCTGCGCGGCCAGTCGTCTATCGCAGCACGAACGAGGTCCATGTCAATATCGGCGGCTGCCTTAATCAAGGATGTCTTGATTGACTCCAAATTGGGATGAGGCTTTGAGCACGCCTTTTCCTCCAAGTGTTGCCATATCTTGTAATCTAACGGATTCAAATCTGGACTGGAGGAGGGCCAATCTTCGTGCCGAATGAAGTCGATTTCACGCGTCGCCAGCCAGTCTTGTGTGCTCTTCGCTCTATGAGCTGGCGCCGAATCTTGTTGGAATACCCAGTGCCTGTTATTGGACATGGTATGAGAAACAGGTTCCACAAGGTTCGTCAGGACTGTATTTTGATACACAACTGCATTCGTTTTAACACCTTTCTCACAAAAATGTACCTCTGTTAAGCCCCAATAAGAAACTCCCAACCATACCATGAGCGAGGATGGAAAATGACCTCGTTGGACACGCGGAATACGGTTGCTCGCTTCTTCACTACTGTGTGCGTACACCTTATCATTTTGTTTGTTGTAGCTCTCTTCTACGGTAAAAATTTTTTCATCCGAAAAAAGAATTTCCCGATATTTTTTTCCCGCGTACCGCTTCAACAAAGCGCGGCATCTCTTCAGTCTCAGGTCCATTAGACGAGCATTCAAACGATGTCCTGTTTTTCTTCGATATGCCCGAAGCCCTAAGTCTTCATTTAACACCCTTTTCACCGTGGTTCTGCTTAACCCCATCTGAAGGGCCAACAGTTTCTGCTTACGTTTGGGATTTCTTTGAATTCGCGCCTTCACAGCTTTTATCACTGCTGGAGTCCTAACAGACCGAGGGCGACCACTTCTTGACCTGTCATCTACACTAGAGTCTTCATTGTATCGTTTGATGGTACGATAAACGAATCTTTTGGTTATATTCAAATTTTTCAGTATGTTAAAAATTTGAATTGGCGCGTAACCGCAACGATGCAATGCAATAACTGCAACACGGTCTTCTTTAAGCGTCCACTCCATATTTAAAAATGAGTAAAATTCTAAAAGTATACATTTTTATTTTCATGAACAATTCGAAATTCGAATTCAATAAACTTTTTTGTGGCCAGCATTCTAAAAGAAAAGTTTTTACTGTGTGACAATACTTATGACCTGACTAGTTATAGCTATGAACATGTAAACGTTTTTCCCTTAAAAATAAATTATTGCTGTGCAATGAAGAAAGATGTTCTACATATTTATGTTCAGAAAAAACCTTTTAGATGGCATTGATAACCAATTGGCGCCTTTTTTAATCTTAAATCTAACCCTATCTGATTCTGTTAAATATCATTTCAGCAGACGTCAAAAACTTTTACATTAATTTTCATCTATCAGATTTCGTAACCGGGCCGTGTAGAATGTGGGTAGTTTGCATATACCGTCTGTGTGATATCCTCTAGTTAGATATTAGTATTACTTGTTGACACAAGGGCTCGACAATTATTACTGACAGTTTTGTATTATCAAAGCGGAATCTTTTGAATAAACTGCTGAATAAATCATCAAATAAGATCCTTTCAGCACTTACGTACACATGATATATGTTATCGATTAACATTGCCTTCACCGAAATTACTAGAGCCGCGCCAATAAAGAAACGAAGCTAAAATGGCGGCAGCGATCATGTGCTCTCACTCTAAACTATTGCTGTCTTTCGTCGCACACGGCGCGTACTGCATGCAAAAAAAATATCAGTTTTAACTTTGTTGTTGAGTTCGAGTTTTTTCACTTTCGAGTTGTGCGACTTAGATGACTGGCAGCAAAAGTGTCTACGCAAGTTGCATCCTAGATGAGACACCTCCCCCTCTGCCAGGGCATAAAGTAAAGTACATTCTCATTTGTTTCTTTACATTTTTTTACAATAAACAACTTTTTCTTTCTATCTTTTTTTTTATTTGTTGACCCTACCATCTGTCAGTGCAGGTACATAAGACGCCATTTTCCATTCGTTTCTTTATTGGCACGGCTTATAACAGAGTTTTAAACAAGTAACGCGAGCAAATAACGAAATAATGAAATCCGAATTATCGCTCACCATCAGAAAACATTCCTCGATGTCCGGAACTGATCCGAGCATCCTTTTGATGACGATCTGTAAGTTGCCGGAAAATTCGTCAGCCGATTTCCCGCACTTGATCAGGTAACGTATTGTTCCACGCAGAATTATATTCACATGCTGGGTCTGTACATTAACGTAATTTCAATGAGACATTAAGGAAATTCGGCATGTCAAATACACAACTAACTCGATATAAATATATACAGTAATACCTTATAACACGGTACTTTTATAACTTATTTTCATATTACACGATTTCAGTTCGTCGTATAACACGGGTTTGCCCCGTATAACGCGGGAATTTCACACGCTATATATTTCTGTACTGTGAAATTTATAATGATTTGTACAGCTCATAATTAATTTCGCGTACCTTTGCACATTGTGTCAGTTGTGTTGTTATGAAATTAATTTTATTAATTTATTAATATTATGTTCCTAGTTTTTGAATTGTAAAAACATTGTTTATATTGTATTATATTTGAACAGAACACGTTACATGGGGTCATGCAAGCGCGTTACGCGAGAATACTCATACAACGCGTTTCCTATAACGCGGAACCAATTTACCGTGTTATAGCGGGGATTATTGTATATAATTAAAACATTCGATCACATTACCGATAAATTTGTACAAGCGAATTGTAGCCACGGTCCCAAAACTTGCAAAAAGTGCACAGTAGACCTTATGTTGCTGGCTATCTTCCACCAAGTTTGAATCAGTGTCTCTGAATTGACTTGTCGGCAGTTTTCTGACGCGCATAAATGTTCGCCGAGCGAAGTCAACACGTCATGGACCAGTACTAAAACAATGAGTAATGTTTAATTCCTATCCCCCATTGACGTTGATAAGATTTTCTTAGTGCTTAAATGGGTGAGGATGAACGAAGTAACCTGATGTTAAATGGTTACCGCTGCCCAACCACAATGCCGTCACCTAGCTTGAGACATGAGGTCGTTTTTTTATATTTTCATATATTTATTTATTTAGTATTTATTTATAGTAAATTTTGTGTTTCGGCTGTCCCACCCACCTTATACCACCTATTATTGACTAGAATATTAAAAAAAAGGTTTATATGTGTCTTTTATGAAACATGTTTTTTTTGTTAGTATTAATTTATGAGATAGATTATTATAATTAGTAATAAGTTGTATTTATTTGATAGTATGTTTCAAATTTCAAATCAGTTACAACACAACATTAATGTCCTAAGCAATAGTAAGTGCAGTAGTTACCCATTTTATCAGCAGATTCCACAATCATATCTAGTATTTTTGTAGACCTTTTAATTATAATTTTCGAATCAAATGCAGACAGAATACCACACAGGAGCAATTCACTGTAAGAGTTACAAAATAAATGTTTTATTTATTTTATTTAGTTACATTACAAAGGATCATTTTTAATTGTAAGTAGATATTGTACGCCCACTTGTTTTGCATTTTCTGACATTGTTGAAGCATTTGATCCAAAAGTGTTTCCTTGCAGTTGGTAGAATGCAAAGTTCCAAAAAACAGCCAATCAACGGCCGGCATGTAAATGTTTAAATATTTATCTAAGGTAAGTAATTGTCCTTCGTATTTCTTTTTCATGGCCACATGATAAACCTGAAAACAAATTATTCTTTACTTAAACTATTTCTTAAATAGTTTTTTTTCGATGTTTGGTGTTTTTTTTTTTTTTTGAAATGACATCTCTATTTCATTGATTTACCTGTTGATACTCCTCAATAAATTGCTTCAAATTTTCATAAAAATAATCAGAGCACTCGTTCCCTAATAATTTAGACGCCACCTTACAGAGGTATGCCCTTAAATAGATCGCAACTAAGGGATTTCCTATCCCTCTGATCATCGCAGTCAGTCTCACGATTGTCGGTTTTATTTCCTCTTTCGATGTAAACGAGTAGCATTTCAACAGAGCCATCTCCATGTAAAGGCGCGGCAGAAGCTCTCTAATCGACGCCATCTTATACAACCAGTTNCCTAATAATTTAGACGCCACCTTACAGAGGTATGCCCTTAAATAGATCGCAACTAAGGGATTTCCTATCCCTCTGATCATCGCAGTCAGTCTCACGATTGTCGGTTTTATTTCCTCTTTCGATGTAAACGAGTAGCATTTCAACAGAGCCATCTCCATGTAAAGGCGCGGCAGAAGCTCTCTAATCGACGCCATCTTATACAACCAGTTCTGACAGGTTTCTCTCGCCGTTTCCGGCACTTCCTTCGGGTTGATGTCCTGAACAGGCTTCACAAGCTTTTGCCTGAAAATAAATAATTATGACAAATATGTAGTATTTGCTTCGATTTTCGCGAATCTTAAGTATGTACAATTCTTTTTTTTTATTGCTTAGATGGGTGGACGAGCTCACAACCCACCTGGTGTTAAGTGGTTACTGGAGCCCATAGACATCTACAATGTAAATGCGCCACCCACCTTGAGATATAAGTTCTAAGGTCTCAGTATAGTTACAACGGCTGCTCCACCCTTCAAACCGAAACGCATTACTGCTTCACGGCAGAAATAGACGGGGTGGTGGTACCTACCCGCGCGGACTCACAAGCGGTCCTACCACCAGTGAAAAATTAATGTATAATGAAATTAAATTAATGTTTAGTTAAAACTAATTTTACGTTTTAGTCTTTTTTTATTGTATTACACTAATAACATTTTTGAAAATTCGTTCGTTGCCCCGAAAACTTTAATGTGTTCGAAACGTTCGGAAATATTAAATGACAATCAACAAAAAAGTCGAGATCAAAAAATAAAAGTAAATTTAATAATGCTGACTGATATCCGTCAGTAGAGGTTCTAAATACAGTCTTAAATAATTACTAAGAAATTACTAGCACGAGTGGCGGTTCTCCTATTCTTCAAACCGGTTCGCATCTAAACTAAAACTACTAAAACAGGGGCGGTTGTACAAAAGCTCCCCAACCAAAACAACCCGACCACCAGTATTTAATACATAAAAATATAAAGTAGTTCGCAATCGATAAACTTTCCACATTACAAATCTACTTACCCAAAACTTTTTTCACAGAGCCTATCGAAGACTAAGTTACCGAATGTGTCCAGGATATCGGTGATGAGAATGAACTTGCTCGGATAAAAGTGCATGACATTAACATCTGACAGTAGCTTGGAACATTGGATCCCTATTTTAAAAGCTTTAACTCTTTGCTCAGACTCCCATGCCTACAAAAAGGAAAAATACAGATACACGAATTTAAATAAAAACTTTGTATTACCCTTGTAGGTATACGGCCTACTTGGTGACTTGTTACCGACACTCATGGACGTCAACAATGCCAGGGACCAAATCCCTCCCTACTGATGTTGCTAATTCACAAAGAGAAATAATTTAATGGCTTCAATGACGCATTTGCATTATATGAGCATTGTAAGTAAGCTCCTTATAAATGTGTCAACATAGCAAAATTAAAATAATTTCCTAGCTTTTAAGCAAATCAATGGTGAACCTCAAATTAAAACATGTTTCATATTGGCACCATTTACATATTCTACGAGTCGAATTATCATTAATACAGGCAAACAAATATTTTTCTGATAACAATAAAATAATATGGTACCATCAAACTAATTTAATTTGAATTTGGTAATGAAACCCTAAAATGGCTAGTAGTAAACTTATCGAGATTAGATTGACTACAAACTTCACACCCATTTCACTGGGACTCAGCAATCGTTTTACAAGGCAAACTGAAATCAGTATGTAAATGAAATAATTACATCACGTCATACAAATAAGTCTTTCGCCACAAATTTATTTTTATACACCCCCAACTGATGTTTCATGTAAACCAATGGGGAAATAACTGTCACAAAAACACATCCAAACTCACAGAATATCTAGTGCTTAAAATTACCAGAACCTTTAACAATAATTGCAGTACAAAATCTCAAATGAATAGAACTTTTTGGCCAGATACAGATTACATAATGCAACTCTAATTTCTAAATGTTAAAAAACCACGTTGTTACAAGTGCATCTTCCTAACATACCAGTGGTTGATAATTTATCTGCTCTCCTATGCTTTTCTATTAAGGAACAAAAATAAGAAAAGCTTGCCTTCTTAATTTCATCATTCAACATATTTATTTTGGTAACAAATTCTTGTTGGCTCAAACCCATTGTTTTCCTCACTGAATCATCATCAAAATCATCCAATTGCTCCAGTCTATTTTTAACTTTTTCGTTCAAATTTGAAACCTGTCTTATGAGGGCTGAAAAAGTACTAACTTAAACAAAAAAAAAAGAACAAAAGGAAAATTAAAAGTCAATTTAGTAACAGATTTTACAACATAATGTAAATAGGTTTCGTAAGGCTCACATTAAATTTTCTAGCCACGCATGCAAAAAATTATTTATTCAAACATATTTCTTTTCTAGTTTGCTGTATTACTTTAAAACATTAAAATTTGAAAAGTCTCTCATCAATGGTTCTTGCCTTAATAAATGGTTTGAACCAATGAAAACACCTAGAATGACTTTCTACACATTTCTACACATGGGGACTGGTAAGAAAAGATAGGTTGCCTCCAACAAGAAGTTAGTAGGCTTCATATATTATGTACATAATATTATATACATTCATGTACATAATATGCAAATATTTATAAATACTTATAGCAATTTACTTACATTGCTTTATGAATGAGCTATGCAAAGCATCCAGTCTACCCCACAAACTTAAACAGGTTGCACACCACTAGGAGTACCGTACCATTAGGAATTAAGCTGAGGTACTTACTTTTCTCACCACCAGGCAAAAAACTACTGACTATTGTTAACTTCTCTCCAGTTGTGTATCTATTGAGGACTATTGTACGTCTTGTATTCCATTCTTTTGCATAATTTACCCCTATACCCTCATCATCAGCATGAACAAGATCCTGTAAAATAAAACATAATAAAATTATAACCATAACTAGTTGTAATGAATCTGCACAAGTGTGACTAGTGTGACTATGGCCTAATTGGTAATATGTGTACTGCTCAAATGGATGCTACTGTGCCAAGGTTCAAAACACATAGCATTGTGAGGTAGCACAAATAAAGACAAACATCCTACTTACATTGTCAGAAAGACTGTAATTCAGGCATTCTGGTAGCACTTTAACATGAAGCAGGCCATTAGCCCATCTTTGGCAGTACAAGTGAAAAGTTACAAAATAAAACTAGAATTTGTAGTTTAATCTCTTTTTAATTGTTTTATTTTACTATTTCTTCACTCTGCATACTTCACCTTTTTGCGTTCACAACTACTGACCATAAAACTTATTTTCTTAATGTCTTTGCATTATGAAAATGCAGGAAAAAACATGTGGTCCACATTTCCAAAAGATGTTAAGACAAATAACTAATTAAATTATATATTTTTTCATTAAACTCTATTAGCTTGTACTGAAAATGTCTTATCACAAACTCAACTCTACATTATTGGTGTGGACCAAAATTTTTACTAAATTATCAGAGTTCTATGAATATTTTGCTTTTAAAAAAAAACATGTAGCAGTTTTTAAACTAATCTAAAAAGAATAACAAGAAAAACGCTATAGTTCACTCATTCTAATATATTGTCTGACTTTTAAAATAATGCTAATACTTACTTCATCTAAAGCCATCTGTTCAAACTTAAGCAGTGGATCTATTTCTTCAAAGCCAGCACTCCATTTACTCAAGTCATCAATGAAGCCTTTGTTTGAGATTTTTTTCTAAAAATTGTTACTTTACTATATTTATCAATCATTTTTTTGTTAAATTAAGTAGTAAGCTTTCTTCAAAACTACTACAGGTATTTCTAATATTTTTCATTTAAATTTTTGTAGTATAGTTCAAAAACATATACCGAAAATACAATTTACTTGCAAATAGTACATAGCAATCACGATAAATGGGGTTTTAAAACAAGGCTTCCATGTAAAGTTAATTCAAAATTACATTAGTTATAATTGAAAGTGAATAGTAAATTATTATGTGAATAGTAAAATATGTGAATATTCTTCAATTAAAATCAATGTTTTGAATATTTAAATGTCTTTTAATTAAGCAATTGTATTATATTATATCTAATTTGGTGTTCTGCAGATCTCATATCAAAAGTTTTGATAACTTACAAAAAGTACATGATTTGTCTTCAGAGGATGATGAGAGACTTCAAATTTAAGTGCTTTGCAAATCTTCCGTTTTTGGTTTTTTGATTTCCTGAAAAAATACAAACGTTACCGAATGTTTCGTATTTAGAGAACGAAAACACTTCAATAACATAAAGAGATCGAAAACACTTCAATTTACCATTCAAAAGTTGGCATTGTTTTACCCTTTGTATATTTATTTTCAGAATTTCAGATTAGTTCAGTTTTTTCATAGTTCATTTTATGACCTGGTAACTAAGACCTTTAGGTCAAGTCTTACTTTAATTTTAATTATACGTACCTTTTTATATGAAAATGATATTATGAAATGAAATGAAGTTGATTATTATGAAACATAGCATGAAATGAAATAAAAAGGAAAAAAATTTAAATGAGATGAGATGATTATAATCTCAGTAAAATTGTGGTCGTTTACAGAGATTTTTTCAGTGGACTTTTTGGTGGATCCCGAGAAGTTACGTCCAACGGCTTTATTTCATTTTTCCCACATTTGTGCACTTTCACAGATACTGAACAGTTAATAAACCACCGTTTTTACACATTTAAACCTGAAGAAACACTAAATAGACAAAATAAAACAAATCGCACAACTTCACACCTCGCGTTCCCGCCAAAAAGTCTTCATATTTTAAGAAAATACTTTTTTATCTTTTTTTTTTTTGGACAACTAAATTTGCGGATGAAAAGCGATTGCATGCAGCAGAGATGTGAATGTTGCGGTGGATGTGTGGAGTAACGAGAATAAATAGAATATGGAATTAATGTGTTAGAGGAAGTCTGAAAGTGGCACTTGAAACCGAGAAGCTGAGAAGTGCGCGCTTGGGATGGTATGGACATGTGATGGGACGAAATGAAAATGAGGTTAGTAAGAGAATGCTAACTATGAATGTGGAAGGATGTAGAGGAAGAGATAGACCTAAGAAGAAATGGATGGATTGCGTGAAAAACGATATGGGTAAGCGAGGAGTGAGCGAAGAAATTATATATGATAGAAGAGTATGGAAGGGAGAAGGGCAGGATAATGATGATGATTTAAAGAAACTACTTTTTATATAAATTATATCGGTAAAATCGACCTTAAATGACATGACTATCGTGTACAGGCGAAACAAAACGTCGCCTGAACACGATGGGTGACTAGAGTTACCGGCTGAAAAAGCCGCCTGTACACAATGGGTGACTTTAATCACTGGCTAAAAACACCATTAAGCACGTTGAGTGATGTGCGCACTTTCAGCACGGAGCTCCGTTTCCTGCGAAACACTTTGCAGCGCGTTTTGTCGTAGTGAAACGCTTAAGTGTATAATTTAAAACGAAAATTCAGAGGCGGTCAACGTGGGCAAAGCTGCATACGATTGCTTACATATGACAAAACAATACAAATGGCAAATTTTATGCACTTTCTTTTTAATAAATTTATTGCACGCTCAAAACTGAAGTAACACTAAAATTCTTATTATTTCACTGCTCTGGTCGGCTCTGGTTCTTGATAAAAAGTTCTGTTCCCGCCATAGAATGTACTTAGTTTTACGATACAGATTTCCTTTGCCTATCCAATCAATTTAATTTGACACGTGGAGAAAATAGAATCGAATCGATGTATATACCGTACTGACAAAAAATAATTGTGTTTAATATTAATGGAAAAACCACGAGGAAAAAAACCTTTGGATCTAATTTAAATAAACAAACACTATTTATTAATAAAGTAATGCTAGTAATGCAAATAAATGCTAATAATGCAAAGAAAATGCATTACATTTGTACTACAAATTCCTGTAGATTTTGTTTAGCCCATGTTAATAGTGTTGATACAAAAGTATTCATTGTAGGCAATTTTTCGTAATTTAAGTACCTATGTTTGACGTTCATAGTCAACCAAAACTTGGCTCCATACCAAGGTGATTTATTCACTGCGTTTTCCCGTGATCAGGAAGAGACCTTGTAGAAATATGAATATGTTACATAATATAATTTTGCAATGGGAGTTTACAGCAAATTTGCAAATGCGTTCAATAAATATCCTTTACTTAGAGGAATGGCTTCCTATGGCATAATTTGGCCTCTTTCTAGTCTTGTACAGCAATCTTTTGAAGGCAAGAACTTGGGTGGGTGTCAATATTTCTTTTAAAACGTTCTAAATTCAACTGTTCAGAAATCACCTAAAAGTATCTATTATTTCAGAAAACTACGACTGGTGTAGATGTGCAAGGTTTGGTTTTTACGGCTCATGCTATGTAGCTCCGACTCTTTACACATGGCTAACCATAGCCAATTCAGTATGGCCTGGGAATACAATACGTGCAGGTATAAAAAAGGTGATGTTACTTTTAAATTTGTTTAAATAAATCAAACTTTNGTTCAGAAATCACCTAAAAGTATCTATTATTTCAGAAAACTACGACTGGTGTAGATGTGCAAGGTTTGGTTTTTACGGCTCATGCTATGTAGCTCCGACTCTTTACACATGGCTAACCATAGCCAATTCAGTATGGCCTGGGAATACAATACGTGCAGGTATAAAAAAGGTGATGTTACTTTTAAATTTGTTTAAATAATTCAATTTTTTTTTTTAAATGTTGAATATGTGACTATTGCTAAATTGACATTGAATTATTATTTCAGACTATTGTTGAAACCGTTACTTACACACCGTTTGCAATGTGTAGTTTTTATTTTATAATGAGTTTATTGGAATCTAAACCCATTCATGAAGCAGCTGCTGAAGTAAAAGCAAAATTTTTACCAACATACAAGGTGTGTTAAAAACTTGCATTTTTTGCTAGAGAAATAAGCCTAACTAACTAATTAGTGATTGCAATATATATAAACTACCAGCTAGGAAAAGATATGATTTTTTTTTATCCTTCAAGATATATTCTATCATCAACAGTGATTCAACTAAGGGAAACTTGGAATTTAGTATTATGATTTATAGTGACAGTGTTGACTTAAAGGTATGTTGGTGGTGCTGAGGGAGAATAATATGTCCATGAGTATGTTTACTCAGGACACATTGTTGATTTTAGGCAAACACATTGAAAGAATTTGCTTAATTAGCTGAATTGCTTGGCCTCGATTATTGAAGAGAGAATGATAAAAACTTCAAATACCTTCAATTAATTTATTTATTTGGAATATGCCATGGAATTTTCACCATGAAACTTTGAGATCATATTACCAATTCAATACTATGATTCAAAACAAAAAAAAACGATGTTTAAACTTATTAGTTCTTACATCAATTATGTCTTATGATATCCCCATGAAAGTTAATCATTTATTTAGTAATTTATATGGTTATTTCAGGTTGGTGCGTCAGTGTGGCCAGCAGTAGCAATGGTTAATTTCTGTTTTATAAGTCCACAGAATAGGGTCCCTTTCATTAGTGTATGTAGCTTTATATGGACATGCTTTTTGGCATATATGAAACATTTAGATCAAGATAACGAACGCTTGAGACCTGGTAAACTGCTCTCATGATAATTGGAAGTAAGGTCACCATTCCCAATATCATTAATTACTAAATTCTTATTTGCCCAGCCAAAGCTAAAACAACTGATGACACCTATGTCATATGACACTTGAACCTTGAAATTCATCTGGTTTTTATTGTGTTACTTTCAATGCAGTGAGAATAAGTAATTAATTAAACTTCTATCATTTTTGGGAATGGTTCTTTTACACCCAGTATTAATAGCCATTATAGACGAATTATATTATTTATTATAATTATTTTAATTTAAAAAATCTTCAAAAGATTTTTAGATCACTGAGTCTCAATAATGTGATAAAATCGCAAATAAATCTATAAAAACAATTGTATTAAAATTATTAGGTATTTTATGATAAGTACTATATATTTATTTTACACTATGTAGTTTAATAACAAGAGTATATTGCTATAAAAAATTGTTATAGATTAAATGATTTTAATTCATTCAATTACTTTTTTTTTATTAACAAATTACTTTTTTTATTTCTTAGATGGTTGGACGAGCTCACAGCCCACCTGGTGTTAAGTGGTTACTGGAGCCCATAGCCATCTACAACGTAAATGCCGCCATCAACCTTGAGATGTGAATTCTAGTCTCAGTATAGTTAAAACGGCTGTCCCACTCTTTAAACCGAAACGCATTACTGCTTCACGGCAGAAATACGCAGGGTGGTACCGGCCCGTGCAGACTTACAAGAAGTTCTACCACTAGTAATTACTCAAATTTTAATTTTGCTGGTTTAGTTTTTATTACACGATGTTATTCCTTCATGGAAGTCAATCATGAACATTTGTTAAGTACGTAGGTATTTAATTAGAAAAATTGGTACCCGCCTGCGGGGCTGGAACATCGGTGCATTGCTAGATACGAATGCACCGGACGTCTTATCCTTTAGGCCACGACGACTTCAAGTTGTGAAGTTGTGAAGTTACTATTTCACACAGAAAGTTTAATAAGCACATACGTTGATTTTTTTTTAATTGGTCTAAAGATGTTTCCATTGTCTGACCATTGTTTGAATGAAGTAAAGAAAAACACGGCAATGGGCATGGATTAAAAAAGTTTTGTATCAAATATTTTAGTTTCACTGGGGCATGGAGGGTAGAGGTAAGGAGAACTGCCTGTGTGTGAAAAGTGTCCATTAAAATCTGCTAAATAAGGGTGGCGCTACAGTAGCAACCGAGTAAATTTATAAAAAGGCGCTGAAAGTTACTAGAATAAGATAGAAAAATAAAAAAGGACGAAGTATCTGTAAGCATTGTAGTGCTTTAAATAAAGCTTTAAATAAAATACTTTTGTGATTGTAAAATCACAAAAAGCTGATAAGAAAATGCAATCGATGTCTCCACGTTTTACCACAGCAATAATTTTAGAATATATTGACGAAATTAGTTTGGACTAGGTACCTAAGCATGTGAGGTCTTGTATATTACACTGTCACTAACTACTCTAGTCAATAGATATATTAAATTTCCTAACTCAGCATACTTCAATCAGTTAACAACTGCTCAATTCATATCATACCCTGTGCCTATGCTAGCGCCATTCTGGAGGATTTTTGAACTGTTATTTAGTACTAAAAGTGGGACATTTTTTCAAGCTTCTCCCATATGAGACTGTTCTGTTTACCTCTACCCTTAGATTATACACTTAATATATTTGAGACCTCTACCCTCCACACATAAGGCCGGTCGTGACTTACGCGAGTTTGGTGTTCGCTCATGGGGCCCGCACACACATATACACCCTCCAATGTCTACAATCCCGCTTTTGCAGGTTAGCCGACGCAGCTCCGTGTCTCTACCGGTTAAGTTCCCTTTGCGTGCTAATGGACAGTGATTGAAGTGATTGAACAGTGTCAATACCTACCTACCATAGAATAAACACATAACATTTGAGAGTCAATACTGAACACCTACAATTGGCTACAATCTACATACATACATGTCTAAATAGTGTTTTACTGTTTTTAGTGTTTGTAATTTTGTATGAAATCTGTGAATTGTATGTGTATGAATTGTTCATGTGCTTACTGAACAATAGTGCAAATTTGTAAATTGCACCAACATTTAGTTATAACTGAGATATATTTTAGAACTTATGGTCTCCCAGTAATCGATTTAAAATGTTTGAAACAACTAAGTAANTACATACATGTCTAAATAGTGTTTTACTGTTTTTAGTGTTTGTAATTTTGTATGAAATCTGTGAATTGTATGTGTATGAATTGTTCATGTGCTTACTGAACAATAGTGCAAATTTGTAAATTGCACCAACATTTAGTTATAACTGAGATATATTTTAGAACTTATGGTCTCCCAGTAATCGATTTAAAATGTTTGAAACAACTAAGTAAAGTTCAAAAATATGTTTTTATAACTTACTTCGCTCTCTATCTTGTTAAAAATGAGTGCTAATTCACTGTTGTTTTCTATCAATAATGAAGGAAAAGTTTATGCATTGTCAACAAATGGGTCCTGTTGGAGAGAATTCATGTACCTGGGCTTGGAATTCAAAGCATTATCTGCAGTACCTCACTTTCTTTGGGCTGTAGGAGGAGACAGACAGATTTACCTTCACGTTCATGGTTTAGAAATACCAATTCGTGTTAAAGAAGAATCATATGAGAATGAGAGGTGGCTGCCAATGGAAGGATTTAGTGGGCGCCTTTTACCTACAGACCGCTATCATTTTTCATCTCAGGATGGTACAAAAGATCGCTCCATTGATCACATTAGACTGCCTTCTATGGCTTGGCAGTGGGAAGGTCCTTGGCAACTTGAATTAACATTGGATGGACAGCCATTAGACCATGATGGCTGGACATATGCTGTTGATTTTCCAGCTCAATTTGGTCCCGCTAAACAATGGAAATCCTGTGTCAGAAGAAGGAAATGGATAAGGTATAGAAAATTTAGTGCTATGAATTCATGGTGTGCAATAGCTCCATTACACAAGGATCCAACTCAAGAACCATTTATTGATATTAGTATAGGTGGCAATCAAATGCCGTATGCCTCACCAGGAACCCTTGTAGTGTGGGCTATTACTGCTCAAGGTCGGGTTATGAATAGAACAGGTGTTAGTACAACTTCGCCTGAAGGGTTGAAATGGATAAATATAAGCATTCCACCAAATTGTGATATAAAACAGATTTCTGTTGGCCCAACTGGTTTAGTTTGGGGCCTTCTGTGGACAGGACGCACAATAGTTAGAAAAGGTGTAACAAAAGATTGTCCAACAGGAGATTCTTGGTTAGAAGTAAAACCTCCACAAGATACAAAACTTATTTGTATTTCTGTAGGCTACAACGTAGTATGGGCTGTAAGCTCTGATTCCAGAGTGTGGTTTCGAAAAGGAGTGGAAGGAAACAATTCGGGAACATCAGAGTCGGCAGCTATGGGTAATGGGTGGTTAGAAATCACTGGTAATATGATTCATGTTTCAGTTGGAATCAATGATCAGGTGTTTGCTATAGGAGAATTTGATAAATGCATTTATTGGAGGTGTGGAATTACTGCAGCAGAGTTAACTGGAAAAAAATGGAAAAAGATACAAGCAAATATGCAACTCAGTCGTACTTCTAGCTCAGCAAGTGTGGTTTCATCATCATCAAATACTAAACATCATAGCTTGACCACATTGAGTGAGACAGAGCCTGAAAAAAAAACCAATTTGCATTTAAGGAATTCATGGGAAGAGTCTCATTCTGCTCCTATAGAACATACTCTACCAGTGAAACCACAGAGACAATCAAGACCCCGCAGTCAGATAAATACAGAAAAAATTGATTTGACTGGTAAGAGTTATGAGACTACTTTAAAAAATCCACGAGCTTGGAGTCCTGTAAGAAGTGTTGGTTCAGTAGTGGGTATGGAAGCACAACCAGATAGTGACAGTAGCGTATTTGATGTGGATTCAGGGATGTTATTTGATGATGAGATAAGTCAAACAGCCTGGGGTTCCTGTGAGACAACATGGTCTTATGTTGAAGCTGGAGCATGTTTGGTTGATACCGTTCAAATTCCACATTGGTTTACAGACTCCCATAAGGTCCAAAATTCTGATATAACTGCTGGATGGAGGATACAAATTTTGGATTATTTAAGAAATAGAAATAAAAACCAAAGCCTTGATTTCTCTGATTATGGAATTGCTGTAGAAGACAAAGGTTGGACGCGTAGCTGTGAAGCCAGATTAGTTCAAGCGAACAATAGTACAGAAGAATGTATCATATCATTGTATTGGTTTGACTTAGAGAATACTGGGACATTGTCTGTTTTCCAACCAGATGGCACAATCAAATTTATTTTAAATCTTGAAGAGCTAACCAGTGTTTTTGTTTCATCTGAACCTGGTTGTCCAAGAATAGTACTAGCAGTACCACGTCAAACTGAGTGTTCCATTAAAATACAGTTCATGACAGAATTTGAACAAGAAGAATGGCTAAAAATGTTAATTGATATAATTTCGCAGATCAATGGAGTTNTTTTCCAACCAGATGGCACAATCAAATTTATTTTAAATCTTGAAGAGCTAACCAGTGTTTTTGTTTCATCTGAACCTGGTTGTCCAAGAATAGTACTAGCAGTACCACGTCAAACTGAGTGTTCCATTAAAATACAGTTCATGACAGAATTTGAACAAGAAGAATGGCTAAAAATGTTAATTGATATAATTTCGCAGATCAATGGAGTTACTGGAAAACCATCTGCTAACTCTGTTTGGGCTATTACAAATGCAGGTGATATTCTCAATTGGGACCCCTTGCCTGCTAAATTGAGCAATAAAAAAGATGGAATGTACAAAAAAGAATTCCCAGTGTTTGGAAAAAATATTTTGTCAGGGTACTCAACCAGTCTACACAACAACTTTCCCCCTGGCAGTATCTTGAAAATTGTAGGATGTTTATTTGATGAGGTGCAAAGATTTTATATAGATTTTACAGGACCAGAAGTCAAAAAACAAAGACATAAAATTGAAACTGAAGTGTCTGAAATCCCTTTTCATTTCAATGTCAGATTTGATGAAAAGATTGTAGTTTGTAATACAAAAATTTTTGGAAGCTGGGGTACTGAAGAGCGGCATGAACTGCCACTAGCTGTGGGACAGGAATTTAACATTGAAATTTATTGTCATGCACAAGCCTTTAGTGTCATAATAAACAATAAAAGTTACTGTATTTATGAACACAGACTGAATCCAGAGAGTATTACTAGTGTTACAATACAAGGTCCCTTGAAGCTTTACAGCATGGAATACTGTACAACTAGTGTTATAATTGGTGCAGATGAAATGTTTTGGCGTTTGATGGGTGGACATTTACGACGTGTTGAATGCTGTGAAGCTGATGTCGTATGGGGAATATCACATGATCATAGAGCATGGGTATATACAGGTGGTTGGGGAGGAGGAATGTTTCAAGGTAGATAATGTATAACTTATTTTACACAGTGTTACAATTTCTGCCAATCACAGACATAACTGCTATCAAAGGCAGCATATTAAGCATTAATATTTAACCATCATTGTCACTTATGGGAGTTGACATTACAAAGACATAATCAAGCAGATTCTAATCACCGAGAGTACCTCATGGACATCCCCACAGTGCTTACAAACTGCTAATCATCAGTCCAGAAGTTGCTAATTCCTGATCTTTTCTTCAGCCCATTACCACTTTAGCTTTTTAAAGCTGTAATTGAAGGTTTGGCACCTGAAAATATTTAGTAATGTAAGAATGAAAAAGTTAATTTAATGGTAAACAATCAAATCTCAAGCAAATATTATTTTTATATAGGAATATCCAGTAATACTGGTATACATGCTATGACCGATACACATACTTATTGTGTCTATGAGAATCAACGATGGAATCCGCTGACTGGTTATACATCTGCTGGCTTGCCAACTGACCGTTACATGTGGAGTGATATAACTGGCAAGCACAAAAGAACGAGAGAACACACTAAACTTCTCAATCGCCATTGGCACTGGGTAAGAATTTTAGATACAGAATCTCCTATCAAAACAGAAAAGATAGAATATAATTCACGAATAAAACCGTAAAACAATCTATTTTATTGCTTAAACTGATAACCAATGAGTTTCTCGCCGAATCTTCTTAGTGGGTTGCCATTCCCATTCGTAGGTTCTGCAAAGCACTGATCTTGCTAGGATTAGTGTTAGCAAATTCTCTCAGGCTGAGCCCGTTAGCTCATCCATCCGCCCGCGCGTAACTGGAATGGCCCTTTAGGCTACCAGCGAATAGGCTAAAAAAAGGACTTTCAGACAACAGTTTTTAGAGTACAGTGCAGTGCTTAGTGCGAGTTTTTTAACGTTCTCGATAGCGTACGTGTTAGCCGAATTTTTTATGCAGTTGGAACAGCGCCCCTAGCGGCAAACGTAGGCAAACGATCCCATTCCATACAAATATGAACCAACTTTTACGCTATCGAGAACGTTAAAAAACTCGCACTAAGCACACTGTAGATAAAATCTACCCGATGATATGCAGGCGAAGTAAAATGTCCCTTAGAAATAAGGTGACACTCTTCAAAACTTGCATACGCCCCGTCATGACCTATGCAAGTGTTCGCTCACACGGCTCGCACTCACTTAAAATCATTCCAAATTATTCAATCCCGTTTTTGCAGGATAGCCGTCGGAGCCCCGTGGTTCGTCAGGAACGTCGACCTCGATGACGACCTGGACTTTAGAGTCCATCAGTAAGTATATGCAGTCGGCGTCGATGCGCAATTCGATAAAGCGGCACGACACGAGAACCCTCTCATCGTGGCCGCCGGTAACTACATTCCCAATCCTGCGGAAAGAATGGAAAGCAGTCGACGTCGTCCCAAACACGTCATCTCGGATCCTCCCGATCCTCTAACGGTACTTCTAGATACTTCAAGCACCGGTCACCGTTCTCGTCGAACCCGTCGCTTGCGACGAAGGGCTCGACTAGTAAATTAACCCATGTTAAAAGAAACCTAAATATGTAGGTAGTATATTGACAAGCTTTAGTGTTTTTTTGTTACCATACAATATAATTTATAGATAAGCAAAAAATTATATTACGATTGCAATGTACTGTGCAAAGCCTATCTCGTTCAAAATAAATGTATAAAATTTAAAAATAAATCAACAGGAGAGCATAAAATTCATATTGAGTTCTTAATATTTGAAATTAGCTTCAGTGTTCCGAAAATACACCTTTCGACACAATATTCAATATTCAAATACACTAAGTCAATGGCGCTCTCGAGGATAAGCCTTTTGATTAAGCCAGATTAAAAAACAAACAACTGGTGGTCCTATTCAGTTTGTGTTTTCTATAAGCTCCTTGATCCTCTACTGCACAAGATAGATTAAGCTAAATGAAACACAAAAATAAACTAATGCTTACTTCATACTAATTCCTGTGCATGGAAAATAGATTTCAGAATGGATGATAGATTACAATACACCTGGTGGTGTGGATAATGATGGATGGCAATATGCAACAGACTTCCCCGCACCGTACCATGGCAAAAAACTATTCACTGATTGCGTTAGGAGACGAAGGTGGTATAGGAAAGCGCAAATAAATACGGAGGGACCGTGGATTCGTGCTGGTAATACGGCATTATTGGATATTTCACTATGGGTAAGAATATACATAATTATGTCCATAACATGTAATTGCTCTCCTGCGTGATACTTACGGTTTCATCATTTTTATTTATTTTATTCATACCGGAGCCCATAGACATCTACAAAGTAAATGCCGCCACCCACCTTGAGATATGAGTTCTATAGTCTCAGTATAGTTACAACGCCTGCCCCACCCTTCAAACTGACGCATTACTGCTTCACGGCAGAAATAGGCAGGATAGTGGTAATACTTACCCGTGCGGACACGCAAGAGGTCCCACCACCAGTAATTAAGCAAATTTTAATTTTGCGTGTTTGATTTTACACGATGATATTATTGATTTTATTGATTGATTGATATTACACAATGTTATTCGTTCACCGCGGAAGTATATCGTAAACATTTGTTAAGTACATATTTTATTAGAAAAATTGGTACCTGCCTGGGATTCGAAGAGCACTGTATGGCTCAACACGAATGCACCGGACGTCTTATCTGTTAGGCCACGACGACGATTTACGGTTTCATCATTTAGGCTATCACATATATAATGTAAATATTTATTATTTATATAAGTCAATGTTCGTTTGTATGTTTTCTATGCTTGCTGTAATGAATCTGTACAGTTGTTTTTGACCCTCGAAAGAAGATTTATGTCAGAGTATCATCAACATACGATATTATGATAAAATTACAAATAGCAAATTAGAGCCCGTTCACACATGGTCTCCGTTTTGTCGAATACGCTTTTTTTCATCGATGGAGCATGGAGTTGTATGAGCGATTTCAGATATGGTACAGTATTCAGTAAACAGTAAAAAAAAACGATCCGGTAAATTATGACATTCCGTTTTGTTATCGAATGCTGGATGAACGGAATACGTATCCGTCATGTTTCCGTACAATTTTACCGGATAAACTGTACGGGGGTGAGGGGGCCGGCGGGCGGTGCAGCTAGACAAACGAGTTTCATCCTGGTAGAATAGCGGCGGTATACTACGAATTTGCTTGTGAACATCGTATCTAGTAATGACGAATACGTTGAACGTTATACGGTACCTATGTGTGAACAAAGCATAATTTTTTGTCGTATCCGTTAAAACGGATACCGTATACACGGAGACTATGTGTAAACGTAGCCTTATATTGCAGTATGGACAGTTTTCAGTAGTACTGTATATGAATGTTACTTTTACCGTCAATCAGACAAAACACGATGTAAAGTAATGCACTAGCTGTCCCGGCAGCTTTAGTAAATTTTCTACTAAATTATAGTGCATTAATACATAAACATATCAAATAAATTTATTATAATTTTATAAAACGAATTCTAAATAATCACTAGGAACGGTAAGAATGGCGAAATACCTAGAAAATATTATTTTCTAGGCTAAGGGTGATGAAGTGTCTGTTTGGGCAGTAACTGTACCGGGAGACGCGATATATAGGACTGGAGTAACACCCTCAACTCCAACAGTGAGTATTCAAATTAAAAACGAGTGTAGCTAAAATAATGTAAAAAATTATTTAATACTAACGCATCAGGTCAAATACTAAAAGTGTCGTGTGATTCATCTGCATAATGGAGGAGCTAAAAAAATTAAAAAGCCGTTTGTTTTCACATTGGAAAAACCTTTGACAGAAATGATGAAAATTGTTGTTTTTTTTGTTCCTAGCAACAAAATTAGCAATCAATCATACACATTATAAAAACTTTGCAGGGCAATCACTGGGAACATATAGATAGCCCTCAACTACTTATGGCTATAAGTACATGTAACAATGTGGTCTGGACTATAGGAAGGAAAGGTGAATTATACCATAGGGAAGGCATCAGTGTGGAGAACCCTGGAGGAACCACTTGGAAATTAATAGAACCACCAAAAAGTAATTTATATAGTCACAAAACTACTGGTGCCAAAGTTATTTCATTAGCTACAACAGTTGCTTGGGTAGTGATGTCAAACGGTGCTGTTGCTGTAAGAACACAGATTTCAAAAGAGCAGCCTGGGGGCAAAGAATGGAGATATATAACAGGTATTGAACACAAATATGTTTCACTTATTGCTGGTAGGGGGGAATGTGTGTCCTTTCTGCTGTACCTACTACTGCTACTGTTTATTGCAGACTCGGAACAATCAAAAGTGTTCCGGATTGAATGGGGGGGGGGGGTCAGCTATCATGTAATGCACCTCAAATTTTACCTCATTTCTTAGGGTATAACCACCATATTATTAAAGTACATATTATCCATATTGTCTATTTCTGCCACGGTCATTCTTTCTAGTTTGAAAGATTGAATACAATTGAGATTCAAAATGTAATTGAACAATCTTAAGGTGGGAATCACGACACTATTTACTTGGTGATGTCTTTGACCTTTGATAACTAACTAAGTAGCGGGATTAAAGAAAAAAGGCTTTTTTATCATTATGGCCAAGTTCAAGACTAAAATATTCACTGTAATATAAATTTTATATTTCAAATACTTTCTAACAGACAAATTATATGATTTTACAAAAAAAGTCGTCATTTTAAGAAATTCCCTCAGCCATTTTAATTTGATGTAATCGTTTAAAAAGAAAATTATTCACAAATATTTTCAAAATATCTAATTTACTGGTGGTAAGATCTCTTGTGAGTCCGCACGGGTAGGTGCCGTCCTTTGCCTATTTCCGCCGTGAAGCAGTAATGCGTTTCGGTTTGAAGGGTGGGGCAGCCGTTGTAACTATACTGAGACCTTACAACTTATATCTCAAGGTGGGTGGCGCATATACGTTGTAGATGTCTATGGGCTCGAGTAACCACTTAACACCAGGTGGGCTGTGAATTCGTCGAAATGAAAAAAATAATAATTAAAAAATTGATTAATCCATAGATAGCGAAATAAGTTTCAAACATATATCGAGCGTGCACAAAGACGTGTGGGGTGTCAGTACGGACGGAACGCTGCAGCGGCGTCTCGGCGTGACCGCAGACAATCCGGCGGGCTCGTCGTGGCAGCGCGTGCTCACCGGAGCTGCGGTGTACACCTCAGCACGAGGAGGATCATTGTGCTAATTATAATATAAAAATCAAACATGTGCTTGTAAAAGGAATAAGGATGCTGACAAATATGTGATGATTAAATAACGTTAAAATATGTTTTGCTGCTATCATAAAAAAAAAATTTAAACGACTCCTTAGCTGTCGTTTAATTATAAAATTTATGAGGTTCGTGTAATAGAGTTTTGAAAATCATAATAAAAACTTAGTTGCGTTTTTATTCGATATATATACAAATTGGTATCTAGAATGCCGGAAAAATATATCATAAAAGAATGAGTGTGCTTAGTGCGAGTTTTTTAACGTTCTCGATCACGTAAAAGTCAACTCAATTTTGTATGCAGTTGGAACAGGGCCCCTAGCGGCAAACGTAAGCAAAACTTGCCAACTCCATACAAATTTCAGTGAACTTTTACGCTATCGAAAACGTTAAAAAACTCGCACTAACCACACTGAGCAGAAATATTTAACTTTTTTCACGTAATTTTTTTACTATAATAAATAAATAAATATTTACTAACAATCGCCACGTTAACTGGTCCCGTGATAAGTTCGTAAAGAACTTGTGTTACAGGTACCAGATAACGGATATAAATGTAACATTTTTATTATACACATACATATATTTAATATACATCCATAACCCTGGAAAAGACATTTATATTTATCATACAAATATCTTCCCTTGGCGGGATTCGAACCCGCGACCCCCTTGTGTAGTAACCATGTCACTTACCACTACACCAGACGGCCGTTATGATGATGGGGACACGAACCTCAACCCCGTGGTATTGTATTATACTTAGTGACTAACTGCTTGAGAACGAGGCGGTCGAACAAATAAAAAACCATTATTATTTGTCAACATCCTTAATGACACATGTACATTGACATACATACATACATTGTACAGCTTAAGCTACGAAATGTAAATGAAATTGAAATACTGCCAGGATACTCGACAATCAACTATTTTATAAGCGTATGAATGTATAGAAATGTTTCAGTGAATTTATTTTAATTTGTATTTATTTTGTCTTTAGAATTAATTTATATACAGGTACTGATCTTTTTAGTTTTTCAAAACAATATTTAAAAAAAAAAACGCATCGGGATTGGTGCACATATTTTATTACTGTTCTATATTTATAAGTTCGATTTTCAATTTATTGCCAATGATTAGAGTATGTCACTAAAACTTCAAAACCTCTCATGTAAACTGCCTATGCAATTGCCGCATTATTAAATATATAAGCGCCGGCAATGGAATCCAATAATAAAATATTATTATCGTGATGACTAAGTGCTGGTTCAGGCCGAATCGCGGGTGCAGTCTCGAAATATCTCTTCATATTACAGTTTCCTTGTCGCTTATCCTTTGGAATGTGTCACAGATAAAAATAACATTAAGTGACCGTCGCCATACGTGCTCGAGGTCATCAACGATGACGATTATTTCTGTGTACTGTACACTATTTAAACAAGAACAGTGTGCTTAGTGCGAGTTTTTTACTTTCTCGATCGCGTAAAATTTAACTCTATGGAGTCGAACAGTTTCCCTTCGTTTGCCGCAAGGGGCGCTGTTCCAACTCCATACAATCTGTTCGTGTTGAAGTAGTTTACGGTTTAGGTGCTGGCGCCATTTCAGTAGACGCCTGTCTATATTTCAGTCTAAATGTGAATTGAGGCGTGAATGAAAAAATAACATGTTACATGAGTGATATACGTGACCGCGGCCGCGAGTCTGCGTGGACATATTAATTATTTTATTTAAGAAAACTATAACTTTTACACAAAATCTTATATAGATATCTCTTTTTTTTTCTTTGTCAAACTAGTTTCGCCTTTGAGTACATAACCAATAAAGAACTAAATTGGCTGGAAAATTACAACATCCAGATAGCGCTGAGGTTCGAGACTATATGCATATTTACATGCGAATGAAATGCGAAAGAAATCGTAGATGTAGGTAGATTGCTAGTCGCGTTTAATTCGCGGCTGCCTGCACGTCTATAGGCTCTGCTAATGTGATCTGGAAACGTTTGAAGAAACTGTTTGATATGTACTCGATGCGGCTATCTTATTTGATACACAATTTACTGCTCAATATATTAATTTAATATTTAGTAATGATAACAACCCGTGGACCTGTTATAGACATCTTTGAATGTTCCATATGTGAAAACATTACGTTCTTTTTTTAATGAGGTATTAATAATGAGGCTGTTATATTCGAGTAATTTATTTTAAAGTCCAGTGAAATTTTAAATTAATTGTATCACGGATCTCGTTCTGGTCTTATGACATTTTTGTTCCTTAATCATTCCCAAAAATTTAAACATTTATTTCATATTATTTAAATTATTATATAAAATGTAAACAAGTACGCTTTCGCTTAACATTACCAAGAAAAATTATTGATATTATTGTTTGAACTAGAGGCCTTTAAATGCAGTAGAGCTTGATCGATTCATTTAGTGACAGCATGGCTGGCACACCGGTGGCAGTGCGAACATATTTTCATGACAGTCCAGTGTTGGATTAAATAGTGTTATTTATTAGTCCTTTCCATGAGCTAAGGCCGCGTGACATGATGATTCTTTGTAAGCGGGGGTCATATGGTTTTTTTTGTTAAATTGTTACTACAATAAATCTGCCACTTTCAATTAATTTCATAATCCTAAAGTCTATGTACGCGTGATTAAGGTGATGCTACCCCGTGAAACCAGTAACTAAGATAAATTAAAATGTAACCAGTCACTAGGTGGAAAAAAAATCATTTAAAATGACCTGGGCGAATCGATATTGTACTCATCGCGATTATTTAAGCCGCGTCCCAATGAAAACGGATGTAAAATTTGTAACAATAGCTCGGAAATAGTTTATTAGTGCAATACATCAATATTTGCTTCCATTCTATTAAAAATTATTATGGTAAGCTATATTGGAAAACGTATATTCAACAGAACTACAACTATAATTCGGAATCTACTTCAATTGTGCTCATTTATTTAAATATATAATATTAAGGTGATATAAATAAATACTTCTATCGGTATTGATTCAAAAGACATTTCTAGTCATCTTTTGTTATTTTCACGGTATTAAACAATCGTTTTATTGATTAAAATAATGTGAAACCAAATTAGCTTTTGCTTAAATTGTGTAATTTCTCAAAAATATAATTATAACAAAGACGAATCTTTTAATTCATTTATCTTCCATACATATTAGTTAAACAATAGTTGATCTCTAGAATTTCATTTTTATTATTTGTAACGTGACTTCCGGTAAGACTGCCTAAATCACTTTTAGTTTGTTTGATGAGGAGATTGTGTGCTGATCATGCAAGAATCAATTTCGGTAAGTTTGACTGTATCCACTTCTTTGTACAGTTTTCATATACATAGCATACATATTCGTACAGGTACGTTATTTGCATTTAAAAAAAGTTCTATAAGAATGTTTCAACTTTAATTACGCCAAGCAATTAGTGGTCGTCGCCAATTTATATTATAGTCTCTAAAATGAATGTAAAAACCCGTGCAAACAATTAAGAAAATCTTGATTGCATTGTCGAAAATGTTGTAATTAAATGTAACTCCGCTGTCTCGTTCGAGGAGTTCTTCCCTTTAAATTGTGAGGTTACAAATAATGTACTAGCTAAATATGTTTTATTGTTTATTTTTAACACTTAAACTTTGTTTTTACAGTTTCAAATGCAGGATGGTTCAATTACACATGAACCTACGATAAAAACATTAAATAAGAACAATATCTTTGCATTATCATTTATTTTTCAGTAAACCCAGAAGTGTTTCTTAATTATAACTATCTTAATATAATGTTTTAAAGCAGATAATCTAATTCGTATCTAATGAAGTGATTATTTGGGTCATTTTGTATTCTGGGATATCCTGCAACAAGTGCGTCCTGTCCTCCGATGTAAAGCGTATTGTAAATTTTCCAATAAACGTCGCGTACTTTCCTCGCTGGATGGAACAGGCCCTGTGAATGGTCATGCACTTCATTAAAGTTTATTTTTCTACTTTAATTTCAATATCCACAAAATCCATATCCACAAAAGTTATAACATCATAACATCTAGACATACATAATAATAGAATTTAGGATATATAACTAGAAGATACAGAGCGACCTAAACTTTAGTAGATTTTACATTTCCTGCCGACACCAGAAAGTCATATATTTTCACACCTAGTTCTTAGCTAGGGTACTGATGGAGCTGCCTATATGTGTCGTGCCTGCGATTTTAAGCACAAGGGCAGCCATTATTCAAATTAAGTTGAGACTTGCAAATGTTGCAATTAACTGGGTGGCGTTTTCGATAGTATAGTCTCTTAACGGTATTAAAAAACGTTTAACATAAAATACTCCGTGACCACATTCGAAGTGTATATAGATGACAATATTTTATATCACATATGAGTCGTCTATTATCAAAGGTGGCAATCTGTGCATTTGGAAAAAAAAATGTTATTGATATGTCAATACAGATTGATTTGAATATAATCGTCTCCTTCAAAGAATACGGTTCAAAACCTGCATTAAATAAAGGTTAATAGTTAACCTGTTATTTATCTAAGATGTCGTTCCGAAGAGTTTTGTGACTGCCAATGGAATACAAAGTCAATAATTCGTTTTCCTGATTTACCAATAATTGTCCAAAAGTCAGATTGCCGGCTTTGATAATAGTCGACTCATATACTTCATAACATGAAAATAGTAATTAGAAGACGTATCTTTTAATGAACTCTCAAGAATGTTTTGACGAATATTACGAACCTGTAATGCATATTGAAGTATTTTAATGGGACCTAGGGCAACTCGCATGCCCTCAACAGCGTCCATGAAGGCTTGTACCAGATGCGGTGATGTCTCAAAAATATTTGGCCAAACATGATTTAATAGATGTACTAAGGCATCTTCACAGCCGAAACCATACACGCCGAGCGACATGTGTTTTATGGCAGCGCAAGCCGTTTGTCTGTGTACTAAATCTCTGTGAAATTTAATAATCAACTTTATTGGGGTTTGAGGAAATATCGATTAAGTTTAGAAAATAAAGCTTCTTTATACTAATATCCAATGAATCTTAAATAACAACGTATGTATATATTTTTATTCAGCGTAATAATACTACTATTCAATATTAATCTAATTTATACAATGGAAAAGGAAAATGTTAGTGGGGCAGAAAACATGTAACATACCGATCCATAAGCGCGTCTTCCAATAATGGGCAAACTGCATAAATGTAATCCTTGCCCATTTCTCCAATGTATTCGAACAGGAAAGATA